AGAAATGTTCACGCTCGAGGCCTACCCATAGGTATGTTCGCTTATCCGAACCCCCCTAGACCGCTGCAAAAAATGTAATTGAATGAATTTGGGAGGTGGGGGGAGTCATGTCGAACATTATGATAGCAGTTTACGTCAGCCCGGCCGAAATTATTAAATTATTGCAGGTTTACAACGAAATTGTATGAGCAGCTGAGTGGTCCGGATCAGATAAGTTGATGACTGGTGAGTGGTGGGTGTCCAGTGAATGTTACATCAGCCTGTAATAGGACGAGCCGACCTTTAATGTTTAATCTTGTCGTTGTGCATAGTTTATGGGTATACAGTACAGTTTTTTTACATGTACAGATTATCTAAAATTACTGTATACGTTAATGACATTAAAACTTCAGGAAGTAATGGGATGAATAAAACATGTAATATAATATGCGTAACCTCGTGCTCAGATGATTAGCCAGTATGAAAGATGAATTAACGTTGCCAATAGAATTGACATCAATTCAGAAGTTCCGAACTTTGTTTTCAGAGTGAAGCCCATTGAGCTAGGGAGCTCTTTTCTCAAGGGCGACTCGACCGACAGCAAGGGTGGCACAGTCGGGTTATTTTACAATCGGGTTTAATAGTCTTTTTCTATTAAACCCGATCATCTGAGATTGGGAGAAATCCGGTTTAATTGGTTCTAATTGCAGAACCGCACTTCGCCAACTTCTCAACGATGGGCTTCATCCATTCCAAGCCAAGGAACTCACTGGCGCCCACGATTGTGGAGAAGCTCGTGTTCATCAAGACCAACCTGCCCGCCGCATTCTACGACTACCCCGTGCCCGACGGCCCCCCCGAGTACGATAGCAGCACCGACGAGGAAGCAGCCTAAGCCTATCAAAGTTTCGTATTCATTAAACCAGATTTTAATTCCCCGAAATCGGGTTTAATTGTATTAAAGAAGAAACCCGATGCCTGCCGCTGGAAAAATCGGGGTTTTTTCCACCCTTGGCCGACAGACAGACTACACCAAAGGGGCATGAGACGTGAGTGCCGTATTGAGTTTGGAGTAAACTATGCACAAAATAAGAAAAATTATGGATGGATACCCGTTCAGTCTAACAAATATATATTAATACAGCCACAGGGAAATGCATCATCAGCCATGTTCCATCCACTTCTGGACGAGGGTCTCTGCTGTTGCCATCCATCACAGTCCTGTCTGTGGTGTAATAAAAATATAATCTGACACGCACCTGCACGCGAGCCGATTTCATCGGTCCATCTCCGTGGTGGATCCTTCATCAGGATCACAGTGTTAGAAGTTGTTTTTTTACGCACACCGTAAAATGCGTAAAGGCTCCACACGTTCACCACGGTCACATGGCTGTTACACATCAGACACGCTGACTCTCAGTGTGCCCGCAACCATTGAGCACCCTACAAAGGAATGCTGCACATGTAATACATACATGACTGTACCTCGTTCAGCCTTGTCTTCATTATCATTATAAGTGAACGTGTACAAACGGCACAATTGTAGCTGAGTACAATAATAATGTGGGTTGGTTGTCTATATTTAAGACCGAAATAAAGATTTATCCACAACTCTGTCGCCTGGTGAGGCTGGTTGCAGTTAACGGCGAAACGTCGTACTCGAATTGTAAATGTTGTGGGTTGTTTACTCTCCAACACACTGGTGTTGCTGTATTAGTAACGAATTGGCACGTTTTGGTTTACGTGACAAACCTTACTAATTGGCTGTGTCGGATGGTGGCCGGTTTCACGACACATTTATATTTACGCGATATAACCCAAAAAAACCCCTCTATTATGGATTATAATTGGTCGCGAAAACCAACGTGTTAAATTGTATGACTATTTATATACTGCGCCTTGTTCAGTGCGGGTTGATAAATTGGGAGCACAGGATCACGTTCCAGATGTCACTTTCCACTGAAGTTAAACTCAAGTTGCCGGGTTCACAGTGGAGTGCACTAACCGCTTTAGATTGAAACCGGACATGAATATAAAATATCGTCATAATTCCGTGTCATAAATTTGAAATGGATATTATTTATTTACCCCAGCAAACAACCATTAAAATTCCATCATGATCTCTTCACGCGTGTCATTGTTTAAGCGTGTGAGAGTCCATTGATATTCAATACCTCTTGGTTAATGTAATGTTTTATGGACATGAGCGCCCATTTACGAATCTTGCCCAATGCCACGTGAAACTCCACCGAGAGGAATTCGTTTTCTAGCCCAATGACCTTCTCACGATGTGAGAACTGATTGGGACAGCCGTTCCAATGTTGCTTCTTTTGTTTTTAATGACCCAGCCGCGATTCGCATTGAGGGCTCCCGTTGGCACTGTTGAGACCGCAGGCCTCGATGGAATTTCCGGAGAGTAACGTGGCCAAAAATTCAGCGGAGGAAAGAAAGAACAAAGAGCCCGCAGTGGTCAACATGCCTGAGTAGTTAATAGTTGCTTGCATACACTGTATCCGCGGACCTTTGTTCTTGCTAGTCAATACGGTTATGTAACAAACGAACGAGAGAAACAGGTGGAGGAAAAATGTAGTAAATAGGATATACAATTTCGATTTAAAGCTTTCGTGACTGCAGGGATTCATCTTCTTGGTTCTTTCGGTAAAGTCACGAAGAAGGGAAATAATAAAATAATAATAAAACATAATAAAATAATTCTCACGACGTTTCGGCCACAACGCAAGCAGCCGTCCTCAGGTGAAGAACAGGTCTGTCGGAAAGACAGTGTCTGAATGAATGAGATTGCGCTCACGACTGTAAAAGTCACGTGCACCCGGTATTCAGACACTGTCTTTCCGACAGACCTGTTCTTCACCTGAGGACGGCTGCTTGCGTTGTGGCCGAAACGTCGTGAGAATGATTTTATTATGTTTTATTTTTTATTATTTTATTATTTCCCTTCTACGTGACTTTACCGAAAGAACCAAGAAGAGGATATACCATATGTTACAACTATTGTCAGGGAGTAATATATGAAGCCAGGGAAGGGGTTGGGGTGACTTAATATGAAAGGATGTATTTTATTCTTGGGCATGATGGCAATATGTTCACGAGCTAAATGTCATTGTTTGAAGTCTGCTAGCCACGAGAGTGCTTTAGCAGAGAGTTCATGGAGTTTTGCTATTCCTACTCTGTGGAAGGAGTGTAGACCACAATGGTTTACAACTATACGGTCCATATTCTTGGTTCTTTCGGTAAAGTCACGTAGAAGGGAAATAATAAAATAATAAAAAATAAAACAATTGTATTTTATTATGTTTTCTTTTTATTATTTTATTATTTCCCTTCTACGTGACTTTACCGAAAGAACCAAGAAGATGAATCCCTGCAGTCACGAAAGCTTTAAATCGAAATTTATACGGTCCATAGTTTGGTTTGCACGGCCACAATCGCAGTATTGTGGATTGTTTTTTTAAATTTCCATTTATGAATCAGCCTGTTGATGTTCTTATGCAGATTCTGTTTGGGTACACCAGGGGGGCGGGGGTGAATCGGAAAGGATACCAGAGGGATATGGAAGGAGCAGGGGTCGTCATCTCGATCGGGGGTTTATTTGTCCAGGAGCAAGCGGAAGAGGGCGAGAACGGACCAGCTGCGTGGCAAGGAGTTAAGCAAGCCACGAGATTGCGCTCACGACTGTAAAAGTCACGTTCACCCGGTAACAGAAGACACTTGTTCTTGTACTGTAGTCACACGCCCATTCATACTGTAAGCAACGACATACGGAAACGTCGGCTTTGTGACGCTGCAGTATTATTGCACGCACTTTATAATCCGGCAAGGTCGCTCAACCATCGAGTGAGTGGCTTCGCAAGAGGAAGTCTGCGAGTTCAATTCCTGTTTGCGCGGTTTAAATAGGCACATCAATCTCGCGTGGTCGCTAAAATTTGTACAATTCGCTGGGGAAGTCAACAGTTGTTTTGAGACGGTGAGTTGTTTTCTTCCTCGCCAGGTATGCAGGAGGTCGAGGGTTCGATCCTGACCCTAACACCTGTATAGTATTTGGACGTTGCATATTCTCCCCGTGGTCGCGTGGATTTTTCTCTCGGGGTCCTCCGGCTTTCCTTTCTAAATTGGGAAACGTGCATTTAGATTATTTAGCTGCTATAAATTACCACGTGAGACATTTTGTTGAGCTATCATTTGTGGCCAGATCGCTTCTGAAAAAGCTAATAGTTCAGTGGGCTTTACCTTGGAAGATAAAAATATTTCTAGTTGTTTTATTTGTATATATATTTAAATGATTTGTTTACCTTCCCTATACTTTTGTATTGGCTTGTTGTAACGTTCTGACTAGACATGTGTGAAAAAGAGCTTTATAGCTCAACAGATTCCTCCAGTTTAAATAAATATTCAGATTGTGGACGAGAGGTGGGTGGGGACAGCGGTGGGAGTGCTGTGAAAGAGAGCTTTAGAGCTCATCGGATTCCTCCAGGATAAGTAAATATTCTGACTCTGGACAGGACGAGAGAAGGTGGTGGGGGCACGGCGGGGGGAGGGCGGGGTGGTAGTGCACGTGGCGATGGGGGGGGTGACGTGGGGGTAGTGCACGTGACGATGGTGGAGGGGGGGGGTGACGCGGGGGTAGTGCACGTGACGATGTAGGGGGGGGTGACACGGGGGTAGTGCACGTAGCGATGGAAGGGGGGGGGTGACAGGGGGTAGTGCACGTGGCGATGGTGGAGGGGGGGGGTGACGCGGTGGTAGTGCACGTAGCGATGGAGGGGACGGGTGACACGGGGGTAGTGCACGTGGCGAAGAAGGGGGGGGGGAGTGACAGGGGGTCGTGCACGCGGGGATGGAGGGGAGGGGTGACGTGGTGGTAGTGCACGTGGCGATGGAGGGGGGACACGTCGGGGGGGGGGGTGCACGCGGGGATGTGTGAGTGGGTGGGGGCGAAGCGGACACGATTTGCCCCGCCCCCTCGCAAGCCCCGCCCCCAAGCCCCCCCCCCCTCCCCCCCACCTCGTGGCGCGTGGGCGGGAAGCTTCTCGCTCGCGGCCGTCACCGCCGCCGCCGCCTGCCGCGACTTCCTCTGGGCAGAGACGCGCACGGACAGGCCCCGCGGCGCCTTCGTGACAGGAGAAAAGGAGGTGGTGGTGGTGGGCCGCGTGTGCACCCGGTCGCCAATGTCAAGGTAAAGAAAATCGCGCGAATATTCTGGAGTAAAAAAAAAAAATTAGAAATTAATAAAAACCCACACACGTCAATTGTTGATTTACGGACCGACGATGAAGGCTCAGCTTGTGGTGGTGTGCGAGTTGATGGCCGGTAACTGAACTGTGCACAAACTCGTGCGGTTTGCTTCAACAAATGCTGCTTTTATGAGCCAAGCTATCTATTATAACAACAACAACCCCGACGCAATTTTTATTAATACTACAAAGGGGACACGATAGTAGGAGAGTTTGCCGCATGTATTGATTGTACTGCCGATTTGTGTTGTTGAATCGTTTACGATGCTGCTCCATTGGAGAGGAATGGAGGAGGGTGGTGGGTGGCTTTGCTAAATGTTTGTGGTGATGTGGAATCGTGTACAGTGCACTATGCTGGCCAGATTTCGTGGTGTTTTAAGGACTTTAACGCTCCCTACCCCATTATTATTCTTCAGTCTGACCACGTTGCCGTATCTCCCCCCCCCCCCATCCTAATTATGCCTTCACTCCCCCTCATTAGCCGGTATCATCGATTATATTATCGTCTTTACAAAACCACGAATCCCAAGAACCTCACACCTTTTACTCGCCCACCGCTCTCAAACCCAACAAACAAGCCGGCGCTTGTGCCAGGCTAGGTGCACCTTTGAGGCCACGTGAAGTGGGGAAGGGTTCGCCCACATGAGGTCACGGGGTCAATCGGAGGGTGCCATGGGTTGACCCGCCGATGCACCACCACCACCTCTGCTCTCTTACTCTGCCAACTTGCTGTGCTTTAACCGCCCGGCGCTCAGCTCGTTGTTGTGAGCGCCTCTCCTCTGCCCTCCGTTGTTGTTGCTGGAGGGCGACTGCCGCCAACTCCCCAGCAGCAAGCCTCCTCCTCCTCCACAGAGGCCAAACTTGACACCGCTCACTCTTTGGTTCTTTCGGTAAAGTCACGTCGGTAGAAAAATAATCGATCACGACGTTTCGATCGCAACACAAGCAATCGTCATCAGGTGTTACAACCACAGCAAGAACTAAAAACCTGCTGAAGTAGTTGACACTGCTTGGTAACAACCAGTCTTCGGCCATTCCATTCAGCTCCACATCCTGTACAACATCAGCCCGATTTCTTTTCCTGCCCGCACACATTTTAGCCCTCTCGAATCATCCAAACAGAAGTTGGCTTGGACATGCGGTAGTTTGGGCATGCAGGCTACATGACCCAGCCAACGCTCACTGATGGGAACATGTCCATATCTCTCAATGATGTGTCAGCTCACAATCCAATCTGGCTAAACCTGGGATGGATTGTAGGCAGGACAGCCTGAAGGTTTTAAACCGGTGCAGATATTGCTTAACAGTGCTCCACGTTTGGCACGGATAGATTATGGAGGGCATAACTGCGCATGAATGGTTGGTTTGACCAGAATCACCCATAGCCGCCTTTGTCTTCCCAGTCCTGATATTCACACACCATGCCAGGTACTCAATGTTGAATCGACCTCGGGGAGGTCCATAACCAGTCTAGGAGCACCATGGTGGCGAGATGTTAACTACCTCGCCTGGTATACAGGAGGTCGTGGGTTCGTTCCCGACCTTGACGCCTGGATATTTGGAGCTTGTGTGTTCTCTCCCCGTGGTCGCGTTGGGTTTTCTCCGGTTTTTCCCTCCACATTTTTGTGGTCAAGTAGCTTCCGAAAGAAGAGCTGTCTAGCCCAGTGGGCCTTACCTGGTAAAATACAAATTGTAGCCATCAATCGGCGGGTGGCCTAGGACTTTCAAGTGCAGAAAATGCTTCTTAAGATTTTTCGTAAATCTAGAGAATTGTAGTCTAACTAAAAGGGACTCCGCACGAGTCGTCTCAGGGGTAAGGCACTTTATTAATGCCCAACTGCACACCAAGCTTTACCGCCAAAAGACCTCGTTGCTCCAGCCACACTCCCCTTTTTAAATCTTTTATATTAAGTTCACTTGCTTGCTTGCGCGCTTACGACCGTGCAAATCTTTCGGTCGTTTTTAACCCACTTCCCGTGATCCAATCGAGCTGACATTTTGCACACAGACTCGTTGTGCGTGACAATGAATGTTCGTGAATTTTTTTTCCAAAATTTTACACTTTTTAGGAAAAAATCAATTATATTTAATTACCAATTGCTTAATGGTGGCAGGCAATCATCTGACCCATAGGTGGCAGCCATCTCAAGCCAGAGGACGAGAGGACTCTAGCCGCCACGCATATAAAGGATTTATAGTGAAAAACTTTGTTTTTACGGGTTCATTTTTATCCTCTCCCTCCGTTTATTCTTGGCCTTCCAGAATGTTCCCTGCCACTTCTCTCCCAATCTTATTTCTTCATTAACTGCCCCCCCCTAACCGTCTTTCACCTCTTCCCGTTTTCTTGCCTTTTCCCCAATTAAACCCCAAGGCCAATCATCTGTCCTGCTTTACCCCTATTAGTATGTATCTTGGTGTTATTAATGTCGATCATATTAGTGATGTTAGTCATCTTGATGTTATGAATGTGTAATTAACAATGGTATGATTTATCTGCAATTTACCTATTCGTGGTCCTGACCACTTATAACATATCTTATATCTTTAAGTACCATTCCCACCCCCATGTTTTACTCTATTGATAGAATGAGTGACCCTGTAATAAAGGTTATAGGCTATCGTGCTATGTGGTTGGCAGCAGAGGGCAGTGCAACAAAATCAATTGTACTGTTCTCCAACGTCCAGTTGCCTCTCCACTGCCCAACCTGCACTGACCAGTTTTATAAGTATGGTCCAACAAGCCTCATGACCCACACTGTTTGGGGAATCCCTCATCTAGCAGTGGATTGGCAACAAGGGATGAACATGTACACATTTTAATGGGCATGCTTGGGTTACAGCATTATTGTTGAGGTATTTTGTCTACGAGGGGAAATGTCAGCATGACATTACGCCTTAACTTGGAAAATTGCTTGCCCTGACATGTTCGGCACAAGTGAAAATTCCTGTGCACCGACTATTTATTTTTACTGCATTGATCAGCGACTGCTGGTATCATAAAGCGTTGTCTTATACAGTTTTATATGCCATGTGGCTACAGTTTGGCTGGCTGCTGTTGGACATCATCATAGGGCTGCCTTTAACATAACTCCTGATGAAAATTCACCAAGACATGGAGGTAAGCATATATTGGCAGGAGATGACCGCAACAATATGCAGCGTAATATTTTTTTAAAAAATGAAATGAAATCCTCTCCATATTCAAGGTGATGGATATGAGCATTGTTGGAAATGAATTAGTCTTGCTTGACACAGGATTGGGTTGAACACTGCAGTAGCAAAAATATTTGATGAGCCAAATTTAAATGCCACCATTTTAAAGTGGATGACATTTTACATTTCACTTGTGGCTTATTAATCCTTGCTTACACCACAGATTGACTTTTGGAGCATTTTTTAAGTTTTGAATGAACAGTTAAATCATTGTTCATTTGAAAAACCCATGTTACTGTTGCATTTGCTTCAACTGTTAACCAATTTGACTCTTATGTATTTGAATCAACCACAGTAAATAATTTAACATTCACAATTTCCTGAGTGCAAGATGACTTTTGGAGGTCTATAATTACATTAATGAGAGCAAATGTTTAACTATACTATTATCTCTCACACATAAAACCCAATTCTAAAATACCAAAATACAAATAGTAGAATGTTATTATTTTAAATACTTTCTGTTTTTTTTAAACATATCTGCAGTATGCAGTCATTTATTATATCTACTTAATGCATCTTAAAATACGAAAACTTCTCAAATAAAAGAAAAACGAAGTATAAATTAATATTACAAAGCAAATAAAAATTGCCGCACCATATACACACCACCGCACCATATAAGCACACCATTGTTTATTTAGCTATGGGAGGAAACCAGAGAATGCAGAGGAAACAATGCAGAACAGGGGCAGAGCATACATACTCCACACACAACAAAGGCATGAACTGAGGCCCTATTTGCCGTGAGGCACAAGCGTTATCAGTGCACCACCCTGCCACCCCACGTTCCGCTTTCTCTATAGCAGTGTAATTCCCCGGATGCATTTTTAGGCTTTGCATAATTTTCAGTGTTTCTTCCATATACTATTGTTAGTGTCCCATGTTTCCAATCCATGTCACAGAAGGCAAGATGCATCAATTGAAAACACTAGTATTTAGGCATAATTGGTATGTTGGATTTTATTGTAAAATTAACATTTCTATTGTACTCCAACCTGTTCTTGCTCACTTTATTTAATAATTTTTGATATACCAGTCCTCCTGCAATAATTGCCCTCGATATACAATCTTGTGAGTTTTAAAATAAATTTCCTTCCAAAAGCTATTTAACGTTGTAAATCTGACATGTACATGCCGTTTTTCTCATTTATCTTTGTCCCAAATGTTTTGCCTTTTAATAAAGTTATTTCAGTATGTAATTGAATAATATCGGTCGCGAAAGCCTATGTGTTAAAATGTCATAGTTTGTTTACGTGAATCTGTTATGGGTGTGTGGCTGATGGTAGTGCAATGTGGCGCTATAAAGTTCCGTTTGCCAATTTATTAAACAATTGTTATTTTTGCAAGCTCCACCAAAAGATAGCCCAAGTATATTTGATGTCTGAAATAAGCCAAACCCAAGTAGACAATCTTGTTGACCCATAATTCCTGTAATCCTCTTGTTAAATATTCTGCTGGTTTATACATTTCGGAATACCTGGTACAGATTAGCCCCCCATTGGCATTACATATTTTAACATAATTAGAATTTCTTCTAAGATGAAATTTGTTGAACATTCCATTGTAAAATGCCAAATTTAAACTATTATATTTAGAAATTTTCAGGAACATTTCAGAATTGTTCAGTAAATTGATTATTTCATTGCACATTACATTTTAATATTTATATTCATTATTCTTTAAAACTTCACTGATGAACCTTTAGATGTTATCTTGATTTGAAGTTTTCGTGACTGCAGAAATCCATACTCTTTGGTTCTTTCGGTAAAGTCACGTAGTTAGAGATAAAATAAAACAAGTCACGACGTTTAGATCGCAACACAAGCGGTCGTCATCAGGCAAAGGAGTCAGCCTCTAAGGAAAACTGCTTATACAGGGTGACCCAAAAAAAACGGGCCCCGTGCACACGGGGCCTATTAGAGTTGGGGCCCGTGTATAAGGGTTTGGGGATGGGCGTAGCCCAAGTATATCAACAGCACCAAGAGCATGGGTGGTGCACGAGTGCCAATGTAGCAACAATGCCAATGTAGCAACAATGCCAATGTAGCAACAATGCCAATGTAGCAACAATGCCAATGTAGCAGTAACTTGAGATGTTATGGTCTAGTTCAGGGGTCGGCAACCAAAATAACAAGAAGAGCCATTTCTTTCCAATTCGGTATAAAATTCAGTATTTCAAGAGCCGCAATGCATCTGAGTACATACGTACTCATTGTCAAGAAGCAGCGCGTAAAGAGCCGCATGCAGCTCCGGAGCCGTAGGTTGCCGACCCCTGGTCTAGTTGTAGCAATGTACGAATAGTACCGAGTAAATCTATTTGCTAAACATCATTAACTTTCCTACAGAAATAATATGCTGCATTATGTTTGGGCCAGAAATACAGCTTGCACTATTTGTGTAATACATATTAAAAAGAGGTTCCATTACATTTTGGAAGCATAAATTTCGTTTTTTATCATGGCTTTCTTCAACTGTCCCTCGAATGCAACATAGTGGTTGTGGTGCAGCATTACTGTTTTTCTTTTGGCTCGCTTTGTTGCATTCTTTATGCGTGCTCATTGGGGAGTGGAGGGGTGCTGGACCAGTGGAGAGGAGCGTGTTTCTCTGGGTTTGTTGTGCCTGTGGGCAGGTCTCGTGAAAAAGCGATGCCACTTGGTAATCTTAGCAACGGTTCCGGCCACGTCAGCTATGAGGCCATTGATCTCTTACTCTGATGATGGGCTCGTATGTACATTGGCAGGGCTTGATAAATACCGTGTAATGTGTTATGTAACTTATGTACATAACGCTGGATACTGTTTGGTTTAGTAATTAAATTAAGTACATTTTTGGCTTCCACAGGTAAGGCAGATTTTCCTGAATTGTCACAATTATGCTGACAGTATATGCTATTTAATCATCTGTTCACTGCCGTTCTATTTTGCAACATATTTAATTTATTTATTCTTTATATTTCAGCCACCAGACCAATTGGTTAATTGGAAGAAAGGTTCTAAAATACATTGTTTATTGCAAACGGATACATTTAAATGTTATTTTAACAAACTGTACAGCTGTCAAACTTGTGGCACTGGTTTTCTTAATACACATTATTCAACATTTATTATCTTGGCCAAAATCATTGTCGTGAAGCAATGAATGATGCACACATACACGATGTCGACCAGTAAAGGATTAGGGTCCCAAATATGAATTGTTCATTGGTGCTATGACTTGCTGCCCTGGCTTTCAAAATAATTGTACTCCATTAAGTGCAGTGGGTAGTGTGACATCTGAGTTTATTGACACAGTCTTGACACAAGAAGACATTACTTGATCACCCAATGTCGGTGGTGCTCAATGAATGACTCCCGTGTTAGCAAACTGTAGTAAATCCAGCCCAACTTATACCACAATATACTAATAAGCACAAATAAAAAGTTGCGTAATGCAGTCGCAAACAATTGGTCAGTGATTGCAACTATGATCCTCACCTATTCGTCCCTGTGGCCAATATCACTTTGGCATCTCAAAAGGCAGCAATGTGGAAATGTCTACAACAGTGATTCGAAAATGATCACTTTCAAATAATGTCACAATTTTTCGTAAATTACTTAAATGATTAGATTAATTATTGATGACATTTTCATGATAGTGTGTTAAGCACACCATGAAAATTAATCTTTGACACGGTGCTATATGTCCGTTAAATTACATGTTATTCAGAAAATTGGGACATTTATGTTATATCTATAATCCTAATTTATTTCCCGAGGTGAATTAATCTTTTGTCACAGGGATTCTGGTTAAAGAGCACGTGGTAATGTGTGTTTCCACCCATAATAATGAGTCCTGATGACAGTGAGCTCATAATGCATGGATTTAATAACGAGCATATTGAAGTAAAATTTTCTACATTTATCTTAAGCTGTGCTGTTTGACCCTTTGGTGATACATGTACTCATGAAAGAGCGCATAATCTATGCAAGGAATAACATGCAACATTATCTTTGGATGATGTCCTCTAAATATAGTAATATCTATTAAAAGCATACACCAAATATAAATTTGCTTTATTAGCATCGGCCATTATCTATCCACTGCCAGATAGAAAATCTCCCCAGGATGTTACCAGCCTTCATGCCACTGTGATGCAATAATCCTTCTTACCCCAGCACATGAGATGGTATCACTGTGCAGTTGCCATTCCTTCAGGCATGTGTCCTTTAGCTGTTATTACCTAGTCATTATCGACCATCGGCCACCATTTCCTCTAGCAATTTATCATGGCAATATGTCTCATATGCTTTTGTTCTCTGTTTTGTATGTTCCTCTACCTCTCAGTAATTCCAAGTGTGTTACCTCTCCTTGCTCCCTGCTTCTTTATGTGTGTGTTCAGCTATTGTTACATTGTGTACCATATGTTGCATTTTTATTTCAATTTTGGTCGCCAGTGAAGCGTATTAGGCTGATACTGTCTATATAAAATGTGTCATGGCTGCTATACTTATCCTGACTTAGTAGAGTGCCACTGTCAAAGTTACTGTCTTACTCTTGCACTGTGTGCATCGTTATTAGAGCACCTGTTAATGTCTTGCGCGTTCATGACTGCAGAGTTGGAAACTGTAACAAGCTGCACATGTGTGATATGCCAGCTTTAGTTTGAGACAATTTTGAATCATGTTATACGTTTTAATCTACTTGAGTTTAAAAGAAGCAGCAGTGTGCTTGGGGAAATAAATTGTGTGAGAAGTAGAACAGTCATTCAAAACCAGCCGCGAGTATAAACCATCCCATCCTTCACCTACATACGGCGAGTGAGCTTTGAATATCATTGTATACACAAAAGATGTCACGAACTTTGTCATGTAAAATGCTTGCGATGTTTTATATAAGTTGTTGCGTACAGTTGGCCAGTTTTACAACTTCTTTCAACAATTGGCTGTACATGCAGAGATTATACAAGGAGCAGTGAATGGAGTCGGAGGAAGGCAATCGCAAGTCTTCGATGACAGACTCTCCAGAGGGAGAGTATCCACCGCTCAAGAAGCCCAGGTCAGTGCCACTATTCTCATTGTCCTTTGCTCTACTGCTCTGTGAGCTCTCTGTTAGGTGTTGCCTTCAGAACTGGCAGTATCATGGTCCTGTTTACGTGCACCCATCGCACCATTGATACAGACTAGGATCATGTTCAAGGACTGCGTTTGACCGTGTTTTCCTGTGCAGTATTTCTACAAATTGCATATATTGCAAAGATGATCTCAGGAGCTGTTGCTGTAGATTTCCTATTACAGGGAACTTATGGTGTTTAAATGAAACGTGTGGGATTAGGTCTGCTTATCCAATTGATGGACATTAAAATAATTCTTCAAACGGCATTGCTACCTTCATCATTACAGTACATTTGTATGTACTGTACAACAAACCCCTAATATTCGCAGGTGATACGTTCCTGGAGATCTGGTGCTACTATTATACCTGAATATTTATACTCAAAGCTCTTGATGAAAATAGTTTAAATATAAACTGTGCGTATATGTTAATGAATACATATATCTTGACTGAAAGCTTTCTTGACTGCAGGAGTTCATATTCTTGGGTCTTTCGGTAAAGTCACGTAGATAGGTTCAAAGAAAATAACAAAACATTTAATTTTCTTTTAACTTTACCGAAAGACCCAAGAATAATACATATATCGTTCCGTATCGTGTTAAATTACATTCAGTAATGATGAGATTAAACATTTAACAGTGCAAATATCATTATCAACTACCGCGCTCTCACCGTCTATACCACTGCCAAGCCTCGCAGTACTGTACTTGTTGAGTAGGCTCGTGCTACGGCCCACGAACATTTAAAACACGACCCCAGGAATCTGAAGTAGCACGACAATGAATTTGCCACAAATACGCGAAAACCGCGATGATTAAACGCGCATATATTAAGGGTTTACTGTATGTAGAAAATATGCCATCATTGGATGTGCTGCTGAACACAGCGAAGATTCATGACACGATTCTATTTTTGCCAGTGTAAACTGTGAGTCCCCAGATAACATGTAAAAACGCTACGTCTGCAAGTATGGTTTTAGGATAAAACATTTACCCCGACGTTTACAGAGATTGCACAAAGGTGGTGAATGGTTGAACGCAATTTATTATTTTACTCCTACTATGTAAGCCACCTGGTGCATTTGTTCATTTTGAGCATTTTTTCCAGGATGCACGGCTGAGACGTAGCATCTGGTTTTCACTGCGGTCGTCGTGGTAGCACCGGGGGTCACATTCCACCGCAGATAGAATGGACAGTACGTTACAAACAAAGTAACATTCTTTCTGAATTTCAGGGAATTTTTCAGACCAATGCTCCCTGACAAGAGGTTAACTTTTAATGGCAATACAGGAAATGTAATTGGTTAAATATTTCTGTGATATTTGCAAATGGCTTGTCATACGATCCCACTGACAAAGTGTTGTGCAGCCAGTTGCCCTCAATCAATGTTGACAGCACAGTTTTAGAACGCCAGGCTCTTTAAATAGTTACTTTCACTGTCACATGGCCTTGCAGTGCTACAATTAACTTTTCATTTTGTACATGTGGTAATTGGCTTGTTATTTCTTTGCTTCAGTGCATCCAATTGTAAATTATGTAATTTGGCACGTATGATGAGTTAACCACAAGGTCTGTTTTGTTGTCCACTACAGCTGAATACTATGCAGTTAATCGTGAGTCTTATTAGGAACTACACGATTAAACAGCACGTTATTGGTGAAAATGCCGTTTAAAGTATCCAAAACAATGAAACGTAGGCACGGTGCCCAGAAATGTCCTACAGTAAGATGGCCTTGTGCAGCCAAGCAGCAACTATACTTGCTGCAACCATTTACTTGCCGAGTCAAAACTATGATGTCATTGTTTACAACCAAGCAAACCCTGGAATATTACAAGTGGTGGTAGGAGGTGATTGTCACAAGTAGGTGGGTGAAGTGCTTTTTTTTTAAACCTCTTACCTTTTTGCCATATGGCTACATCTAAATGTAGTAGAGCCTCATTGTAAATTATACTTAAAATAGGAAGGTTATTTAGTTTTCTTTTACCCTTTTTTACGATATGTCTGTACCATAGTTTCATTAACCTTGTGTGTTTGTGTACCTTAAAGTAAATAAAGTTTGAGAATTTTTATTCTTAAATATGAACGCATTTGAATATGTGCAAAAACAATAGTCTCAAGCAGTGCTGATAAAACGTTTCTGTTAGGTGACCCCCTTATTTAGTAATTTTAACACGCTAAGCTTTCGCAGCCAATATCCATAATAAAGTTTTTTTTTATTAGATCGCGTGAATAATGACTTATATTCACGCGATCTTACCCAAAAAAACCCCTTTCGTGTCAAAATTAACCACGGCGTATAATAAATAATAATCACACAGCCATATATTTCCTGTTGCTTAATACCCCTGTAGCAATCCCATTCTTTTGTAATGTGCACTGAAGCCTACTTTATTGAGGGTGATATTGGCACGTAAAATAAATATTGGTTGATTGATATACAGGCTTATATATATCTACTAACTATGGACCATAACATAAAAAATAAAGATTGATTAATAATGTTCTTAGGTTTTTTCGGTAAAGTCACGTAAGTAAATAATTAATATTAATAAAAGTAAAATAAAAATAAAATAAAAATCACGACGTTTCGGAAGCAACACAAGCTTCCGTCTTCAGGTGGAACAGTCACAGCACGATAGCTGTATCAAGTGAGAGAAATTACAGGAAAACTGCGTTTTTATATATACTGGTTAATAATGCTCACATACACAGGTAATTGTAGACATAAAACCATTTAAATTTTGACAAGTGCACACAAACATTCATAACTATACATTTAAAATGAAACGTACATGTACACAGGCCAACACGTGAACACAAACCTCCACATTTGCACATAAACGCAAGGAGGAGGGGCACGGGGAGAAAGACATGACTAGAGAGGCGAGGAGAGTCAATGGACAAGAGATGAGAGAGATACAAGGTGGAAATGACATGGGTAGATTGGGATGTGAGAAAGTGAAAGATGGGGAGAGATTAATAGGCAGGGAAAGACCGTCACGAGGAAATGACGCTTGTAAGCAGACGCGTGGGGAGAAATATACATCGGGGACAGAAACGAGAAATTCGAGGTGATGGGGACACAGTTCGAGATGGGAGACAAACGGATCTCCCATGACCCCCATGCGTTGGCTTTTTATAAAAATAAATTTTGAGCTGGTGAAATAATATTGGTTTGAAAAACTAATTTATAAAAGGCAGTTCTGTACAACTTGGCACACAAGGGCCGTTTAACATGAGTTCTGCTTTTCACCAATTTTGTATAATAATTTTTATTGCATTCACTCTTTCTGTCAAATGGTATACAATTTAATTTAAAATAAACGTCATGTAGATTTTACAATTTTTTGTCACGTGATTAAAATTTCTATATGTACATGTCAAATCACGTTACCTGTACATTTCTGAATCCGTCTTCGTTGCTATTGTAGCGACATGGAATGGGTCTCTACGTAGCATAGTGCGAGTTGCTGATAGAGAAGGGGATCTGCAGTTGCGGCAGCCCTGTCTGTCAGCAGGCCACGTGATAAGCCAGAGAGAGGGATGTAGGGGAAAGGTGATAGAGGGGGCACGCGAGGTCAGCCCGGGAACCCGCTAGTAGGCTCTAGAAGGGGGGGCGGGGCCAGGCCGGAGCGAGGCCACGCCGGGAGGATAAAAGGGGACCCCGAGCGAAGGCTCGGGGCTGTTGCCTGGGGTTGGATCTTGTTGTGCTGCTGGAGTCTTCGTCACCGTCTGCGTCTTCACCACCACCTCGGCGTCGTCAGTCAGGCAGTCTGCCGGCTGTCCTGACTGAGCGCTGTAGTTACCTCTTGAGAACTGTGAAGGCTATTAATAAATGGAGTGCCTCCTACCCCTAGTGTCTCTGAGTGTGACTACACTATGATGAATTTCGATTTAAAGCTTTCGTGACTGCAGGGATTCATATTCTTGGTTCTTTCGGTAAAGTCGCGTTGTGGCCGAAACGTGAGAATTTTTATTATGTTTTATTTTTATTATTTCCCTTCTACGTGACTTTACCGAAAGAATCAAGACTATACACTATGATGGGGACGAACTTTTTTCCTGTTCATTTATTTAACAAATTTTAAACAATGCATATAATTGTCATCTTTGGATGTATTTTTTTGCCCTTGGCAGGATTTTTATCCAAATGCATTCTACACTAAATGACCAAAGCATGACCAATACATAGTCTTGGTTCTTTCGGTAAAGTCACGTAGAAGGGAAATAATAAAATAATAAAAATAGAACAATTAAATTATCACGACGTTTCGATTACAACACAAGCAATCATCATCAGGTGTGAAAAGCACAGCAATATATATATTTTTAAACCGCCATGAAAGCTTTAAATCGAAATATGACCAATACACACAAACATTTGCTATCTTTGCATTCCCAACTGCATTGCACATATCAAGCAACGTGATTGGCACATTAATGAACAACCCAGAGAGCAAAGTTGTGTCATATTATTGGGCTACTTTCCCAAAGGTTGGTTGGAATATTTTAGCTCGCCTGTGGATCTTGCATTGTTTGCATGTGTGTCAAGGGCTGCATTTGCAAATGAGACCTTTTCAGCTGCAAGACATTCTCTTTGATAGTTTATTTTTGTCTGTCCTGTGAATGAATGTTTCCTGCTCTATCCGTTTGGGCTCAGAGCCTGCAAATGCTGATTCTCACAGAGTTGTCAAGATAATGGAGTCTTTTGGTAATTTAAAAGACAGTCCTTGTATTATTTGTTAGTAAAATAAATTTAACAGACACACAGCCTTTTTACTTTTCCTGTCCTGGTGATTCTGTTTCACTGATTTTGTGTATTTTATTTAAATTAAAAGAAAAAAGTGTCCTTTTAATGAAGCCAGTTTTATTTTGTTTTAAGTAAAAAATATATACTTGGTTGTGTGGGTATAGTGTACATAATATGATGTAAATATTAGTATTACATTAATATCCAGTCTGATACGGCCTTCATTTTCACCATATACTTTTTCTACATGGATTTACAGCAATTGTGTATTTTATTTGGTTTGGATGAATAAGCACAGTGGCATCTTTCAATGCAATAAATTCGTTTGTCAGTTTAAGAAATCTAGGAGTGATTTTTTTTTTGTGGATATGAATTGTACTGCTAAGCGGAATGAATTGAATACACGTGCAGCAATTGCGCGAGTAGAATAACCGCTTAAGGCCATTACTTGTAATTTTATGCTACTTGTCCTTCGGCCATTAGTGTGTACCTCCTGTAGCGTCTTATTTAATTGCGATCCTTGTTTCAATGGGAATTTGTTGCATTCATTTATACGACACTTATGAGATTCTGAAAAGACTCCTATTATTGTGGTTTGTCTTTCCACACCACTGAATTTTCTAGATCCAATCCTCAAGGCACTCGCTACAAACCTTGTGCCAGAATTTCACAACAAGCTACAAACTGCTTATTTCTAAGGAGATGACACTTCATTAACACTTGAAAGAAATGCCAGAATTTAGCTTGTCAAATGCAGGTTGTAAGTAGCAGTCATCCAGATTGGAACAAATCATAGGTATGGGTTTCTGTACCAAAAAATACCCAAAGAATAAATTACTGTTGATGTTTTAGGATGAAGCAAGGACATTGAGACGTGTGGAACAAGATTAATTTTGGATGTATATGACTGCGGTGACAACATAAACAGGCCTTCATACAGCAATGAATATAGAATGATGCATGTAATGATATCAAGAGTATATGTAGGTAGAATGGTACTGTAGGTAGGCAGGCAGACGTAAGTATGTTCGTAAGTAGGTATCCTGAAACCAAGTGAGAATCCGTGGAGATTTCATATCTCTTTTTCCAAATAGGAACATGTGGTAACATTTAATTGATAACAAGTGCATAGTTACAGCATAGAGAATTGTTGTCATTCGCATTGCTATTATATTGCCCTCAGACCAGGCTGTGGAGGACTCTGAGAGCACTGAAAACACAGCACATGATGACTCTGTGGTCTGGCTCGGCCAAGTTTTTCTTACGCGTGTAGTAGCATTGTTATTGCTGTTTTGTCATTGCCAATTAGAAAGCTGCTGCCCAGCCTGAAGCTGAAGCTGCCGCAGGAACTGGTGCTGGTCATTGGCACAGGTATCAGTGCAGCTGTGGCGCCGCGCGTACCCGCCCTGCAAGTCCTGGAAAGGCCTTATCCAGGCCTTGCTCGACGCTGCCTCAGACTTCGACCTTCTCGAGGAGGAGGAGAGCCGCCGCTTCACGCGATGCTTGCGCCAGGACAAGAACCTTGTACATGTCGCGCACGACCTCATCCAGAAGTTGTCTCCTGTAAGTATTGGTGCATGCTTTGTGATATGTAATTATTTTTTATCACGAGTCAAACCTGGTCCGAAACAGGACAAACGTGTCCGTGAATATTACAATGTACTGTAATACTCCAAATCAATCATGATTCAAGACCATGAAGTGCATTATTAGGGTTCAATACCAATAATTATTAAAGTGCCTAAATAGGGTTCAATAATTCTATATTTACACAGCAATGCCTCAACTTAGTCTCAATACTTTGGGATATGTGGTTAGATTGTGGCAATTTTTTTGCATGTGGGATGAAACAGACATGCCAGGACAAAATGCACTCATGTGATGGATTCAATTCCAAAAGCGTCTGCACGAACAAAGACTACCACCTTACTGTCCCTGCCTGGGAGTGTCTTCAATTCCTCTCTACTGTATGTATGTTTGTTAAGCTATTTCGCACCGTACGTAGCCAACCGTGCTAATGAGAGGTTCTCGCGTGCTGCAGCGAACAGGAAATGTTCGCTCCACCTTCTTCAAGGACTGCCTCTACGAGGTGTTTGAGGGCCTCGAGAGCAAAATGGAGGAGGTAGGCAAGCGTCTGCTGCAGTCGGTGCTGCGGCTCATGGAGGACGGTGCCTTGGCCCTCACCACCAACTTCGACAACCTCCTGGAGATCTACGGCACACAGCGCGGCAAAACCCTTGAGTCTCTCGACCTCAGTGATGAAAAGAAGGTGATGTTAGCTAGCCCCTCTTAAGTTGTTCATTTTCGCAGCGTGGACTATGGCAATGCTGGCCAGTGTAAACAAATAAAATGTCTTTCTTATTTGGGAAAGGGTGGTGGTCGTGAGAATTCTAACAACTGTTTTTAAAAAAAATTCGTCGGGTTTTTCCCATTTTTTCTGGCAACAAAACTGAAACCTTTTTACAAGGATTCATGTCTGCATTAACCACAATACTTGCAGTCAAAATGCAAAGAAAAAAACACTATGATAATATATGCATTGTCCTTGAAACTGATTGGTCCACACCAGGGACGGCTTTCTTTTGAGCCTCGACCCAATTGGTGCTCGACCAGAGGACGCCAAAAGGCGTACAGCTCAAAGACAATGCCCTATCAAAGTAATGAGGGCTCGTGGTGAGCATTTACATCATTAGACCTCTTTTGCCAGTAGCAAAATATAATAATAGGGGTTTTCCCCTTTAATGCAAACATGAATCCTTGTAAAAAGGTTTCAGTTTTGTTGCCAGAAAAAAGGGGAAAAACCTTATTATATTTTGGTACTGGCAAAAGAGGTTTAATGATGGATTGTTTTCGTCATGAGAAATTTAGTTGATGGTGTGATTTTTGTCTCGATTGATGAGTTACATTTAAAGAGGTCCTAATATAATAAGGTTCCACAAAGCAGCCAGTGAGGTATGAGGAGGAGGGTGGTGGGTGTGTTGGTTATACATCGACTGCATATGCTGAATATGCAAGTACAGTAGCTGATCCGGTTGTATAATTGTGTGCAGTCACAAATGACAGCACAACAAAAATCACAGTAAATTTAGTTAGACACTTGGGTTAAATTCCAGCTCTGAGAATTAAAATAACGGTTTGACTCGTCTGATGAACCTTCCTCTGATTGCAAAGCGAATGGGAAGTGCTGCCCTCTACTGTGTGTGGGCCAGAAGCCACTTAAAGGGATCTCGGGTAGCTCTGTAATATCTGCTTCCATGGGCCGTTTTCCAATGCAATGGGTTGCACTGCTCCGTTAGAGATCTTAAAAGATACATGATGCCAATGATACAATCGGGATAAAATTGGGTAAAAAATATTTTAAAATATCTTTTAATTAAGATTTCCTCTTAGCACAGACAAGTAGGTAATTTGAAAAAACTAAAATGTAGAATCAGAATCTACTCCAAACATGCTTCGCTATTTTTCTTTGATTATCGAGTTGCGGTTCTTGTCAAAATAGCCCCTTGAATTTCTGTCGATCCTCATCCCCTCATCATTGTGGATGGGTCCTTGTCTGTGCCCGGCAGGTGTTGGAGTGGGCACAGGGCAAGCATCCACTGAGTGTCCTGCATGTGCACGGCGTTTATACCAACCCCAGCGGGATTGTGCTGCACCCCGCCGGTTACCAGAATGTGCTCCGCAACATTGATGTCATGGTGAGCCCTTCCCTTGAGCTCCTAGTGAACTTCTGCTGAAAGTATTTTAGGGGTTGCGCTTTTCTGGGATAATGTAGGAAACATGACGTTTGATGTGCAGTCACATTTGGTTAATTTGTAATCGTATAAGTCATACGCCTGACTGACATCACTCGGTCTTTCATTTGGATCTTATTAACCACATTGGTAATTGACATAAATAGGTGGCAGTTATATATACACTGAACGCACGGCCAAATTATTCTTGTGAATACTAGGTGTTATAGCCTCAGGCTGAGGTGTTCAGGAAATGGCTGTACAGCAATTGATTTTTTAAATGTAACTGAGCAAAAAACTCAACACATTTTGCAATAACACTTCCTTAAAAAGAAACGTATAGTGTAGAGATTTGAGTGTTATCCCCTTGTCGTATGTGTGGGTTTTCTTTGGGTGCAATGATTTACTCCCACAAAGCACTCGTTAATGGGATTCGGCATACTTCTGCAATCACGACTGTTTTGAAAAGGAGTTGACAATGATGCCTTTGTATGTACATAAAGGGTATTTCTAAATATATGTATTAACGGTCTTAACCATTCATAAGTGGCTCGATTTGACTTAATGAGGAAATATTTTACGTCAATATCTGTCATGTTTTGCTTTACTCCTTAGCCTATTTTCATTCCTAGAAATCGGAGGTTCATAAATTAAACCCAGTGCCAGTATAGTCTTATTGTGTCCACATGCCATTTTCTCTTTCTCGTGTGTGTTTACTTTGAATTTCTGCATTGTTTACAGAGACCCCCAGTTGTATCCCAGTTGCAAACACAGCGAACTCACTTGGAATCTGTAGCCAATTTCATACCTTAAAGGAACCACTTTCATTCGGTCAACATCTGTGTCGTTAAAAAATGTTATTAGAGAACGTGCATACAATGATCTTGGCTCTTTCGGTAAAGTCACGTAGAAGAGAAATAATACAAATAAAACAATAAAATGAAATTCTCACGACGTTTCGGCCGCAACGCAAGCAGCCGTCCTTGCGTTGTGGCCGAAACTTCGTGAGAATTTCATTTTATTATGTTTTATTTGTATTATTTGTATTATTTCCCTTCTACGTGACTTTACCGAAAGAACCAAGAATATGAATCCCTGCAGTCACGAAAGCTTTAAATCGAAATTTAGTGCATACAATGATCGGCTTATTTTTATTCACCGATGGCTTGTGCGACTCTCTGCCGGGCTTCCGTTTTAGATTTTTGCACACGCGTATTTTTGGACCACGTGTGTTTGGACGTGTGAGACAGCGTGAGATCCAGCACCTGTACGAGAGCCGGTCGTTCGTGTTCCTGGGCTGTGGTCGAACAGTCGATGACACCACTTTCCAGGCGCTCTTTCTCGAAGCTGTCAAACATCGCTCTGACCTTGAGGTATTATTGAGGGTTGCACTCGTGACACACAACAAAGTGCTTGCCACAAATGTACCACATCCCTTGCTGGTCTCGTCAAGGAGCATAAATCAATTGCACCACATCCGGTCATCGCCGCAGTAGCGGCTTTTGGCGAACCCATCGAACAAAGATGGTTACTGCATAGCACGCTTTCAGATGCGCTTCTGCGGCCGTCTGGAACGCACTCCCAATATTAGGAAGCCACGGGAGCTATGCACTTTCAAATATACATTGAAAACTAATTTCTTTCGAACTTATTTTTGTCTTTAGTATTTTGGCCTTCCCCTCACACCTCCGATCAGTACGGTTGGCTACGTACGGTGCGAAAGAAGTTCAACACATACATCATGTTTTTTTTATTAGTTTACTTCGAGATTTTAGTAACTGAGCTTTTCCATTTGCACTTGCAGAACATTGCTTAACATCCATTATGATTACCACACATGCTGTCTTACAATTAGAAAATGGTTACTCGAATGTGTCTGGAAAATACCCTTTCTCCCAAATAGATATGTTATATATAGTTGTAAATGTTTTACAACTTAGAAAAAAAGTGGGTATAATGAATCGTATTGCATCAGCAACTACTAACTAACAAAGACTATGAAAATATGAATGAAATGAATTAAGAATGTAATAGAAAATGAAATCAGACACTATCTTTGTGTTATTTGATGCACTTTTATACCACTGGTATCTAGTTTTGTAATGAAATTTTTTGTTTTTGACTAAAGTTGGCATAAAATGGAAATGAAACATTTTTTTACTTATAAATGGTTTCTCTGTCACTTAATTTGAATCCTTGATTGATTCCCCCCCCCCCCATAAATGATTTTACATAACAGTAAATTGACATACTCTTAGGTTTTTTCGGTAAAGTCACGTAGGTAAAAATAACTAAATAATAAAATAACAGAGATTATAATAAAAATTAAATAATATATCACGACATTTCCGAGGCAACACAGTCTCCGTCATCAGGTGGGACCGTCACAGCTGAATTTACTGTATCAAGTGAGGCAAAATTCCAAGAGACAAGCTCTTAAATCCAAGTTAAGGGGGAGGAAGGGGAAGGGCTTATTATTATTTCTATAATTTTTTTTACTTACTTTATTTTACCTACGTGACTTTACCGAAAAAACCTAAGAGTATGAATCCTTGCAGTCACGAAAGCTTCAAATCTAGAAGTAAATTGACAATTAAACCTGTGATTTTAATAAACTCGCAGCACTTCATGCTGGTGCGTCGGGAAGACCCGGAAAGTTTCAAGAAGCTGCGCGAGAACATGCTGGACAAGGGCATCAAGGTCATCTCATACGGAGACGAGTATGAACACCTGCCAGAGTACTTCCAGCGCCTCGCCACTGAGATCTGCCAGCGGGGAAGTGCAGGTGAGAGCGGCGGATGAGTGGAAGATGTATTCTTGTTGAAAAAAAACTATTGGCTTGTGGCTTTGTAATGTTTACTTACGATTACTGTCGTCGAAATGACGATGGCTGTCGCAGAAACTTTTGAGTTGGTGGTTTGGGTATCCTTTGCTTAATATTTTTATTTAATGTATGGTCTTTGAGATGCAGGATCATTCTTGGATTAACGAACCAATGCGGCTGACATAGGTCCTTCTGCAGAGACTGCAGGGGTGATGTTAACATTGGGCACACAAAATAAAGCTCACTGACTTTGATAATTGTTTTTTTTACCCTTTTATCTGGCAACAAAACTGACACCTTTTTTTCTTTCAGTTTTGTTGCCAGATAAAAGGGTAAAAAAAACAATTATCATATTTTGCTACTGGCAAAGGTTCCAATGGTGTAAATGCTTACCCCGAGCTCTCATACTCTGATGGTGCATTGTCTTTGAGTTGTGCTCCTTTTGGCGTCATCTGGTCCCAACACCATGTGAGACGAGGCTCTAAGGAAAGCTGTCTCGGGTGTGGACCAATCAATTTCAAGGACAGTGCATACATTATCAGAGTTGTGTTTTTTGTTTGCATTCCGACCTCAGGTATTGTGGTCAATGCAAACATGACTCACTGACTTTGTTTACTCTAATCAGCCCATCATCCCTGTGGGGGGAGTCAACAGGGGATACCCTATGGAGAGGCTCACCCCTGCCAAAGGAATATGGAATTTCCACTTGGTTCAGGGCTGTAAACAGGAGATGAGAGTACAGCTGCTCATGTGAGCATGACGTCACTAAGCTTGTTTTTACTTTGTTCATTGAGCATTTACAATGACATATGATGATGATGATGATGATAATTCAGTTGGACTCTGGTGAGCATGGAGACATTTATCCAAAGCTGCTTCATAAGAATTCACCTTCCATTTCAGTTTTCTGGACATAATTTGCAACTTTTTGGGAATGCTCCCAAAGGTTTCAAAATAGTGTTATTTTCAGATCTCAACAAAGAGTCAATTGTGTGAGCTGTTCTTGGAGATTCCTTCCTGAAATTACAAAGGCATTCAGGTTTTTTTAATGTGCTAGCATTGTTTTGTGCATTTGCAGATTGTTCGAGCAGTGAATGTGCAAGTGAAGTCTATTGATTTTGTAGATCGAATTAACAGTGTGTGACGTTAATATTGGATGTGTAGGCAATTGTAGTGAAAGCTGCTTGTATTGCAAGTGTCACAGACATATTGCGAGGCAAGCTCCAGTGCTAGAAGGGCTTCATTTAAAATGTTAGGTCATCGGTGCATTACTCAGCCTATTCGTGTGAAGCAAAGTGGTAATTTAGGGTAATTAGTGGATTGGCAACAAAAAAACATTATTTCCTGCCTCCCTGCCTCGGTGTATTGCTCCACATGTCTGTGTGCTCTAATGCATTACAATACTGTGCCTAAATACAATGAAATGGTTAATTTATTAATTTAGTAATGTTACCACTTATCACTTTTGAGGCTTCTGGAACCAGACGAATTTTTGGCTTATTCCTTAATGGATGAAAATGAGTAAGTAAGGTGTGAAATATGTAACAAAAATATCAACTGCATTAAACAATAGAGGCTACTATGCTTGGTTTAAGTACATAAACTATAGTCTTGGTGAAAATCTGTCATAAAATGTATTATGTATGAATGTATATTCTACGTGTATTTGTGCTTGTTCCTTATGTATACATAATGTAAAAAATATTCAAAAGTATTTTTTATATGTATATATATAAAAAAGTTGTCTTCTTCACTAACAATTGGGGTGGAGTTTTCTCCCATGATCCAACAGTCACCATTATTGCCAGGTGTTACTGACTTAAGCTAGCCACGTTGATGAAAGGCAAATGATGATCTCTGAGTCTTGCTGTAATGTGGTTTGTGAATGGGACACAATAGTGATGGAATCTGTGTATAAGAACAGCGTGCTGCACTGCTTTAAATACACAAATGACACGTTTTAAATGATGCACCCAAAGTAATCTTGGAAAAAGCTATCCAAAGCACCGTGCACGGTGAGCTGTCATGCTGGTAATTGCCTGAAGTTGAGTCTTGCCCACATGATTTACAGCTCTTTCATAATTGGAGCAGGTCGTTAATAATTGAGACTTACAAGGCGTGGGTGAGAGACTTTTGTGAAATGGTATAAATTCTGTTTGGTCATGTTGACACCTGCGCATTTCCTTTCAAACCGGTGACGATTGATTTTAAATGTTTTGAGAAAATAAAATAGAGGCATTGGTGCCTGATTTTGTAACTACACCAAGAATCTGAGAGTGGTAACAGGCATGTTAGTAGCTCTTAAGCGTGTCCCCTGCTGCATGAGGTATTCACGATGTGTGGGTTTCAGCCAAAAAAATAATAATTGAATGCATGAGGACCTGCTGTTGGCTGACACTGGAGTGAATGTGGGTTAATCGGTGAGAGGGCACACTAGCAAGCTTTCGCTATCCTGTCTTGCAGTATCGAAGGTGACAGAGAGGTATTATATTACCACTGAATAGGAGAATAGGATCACAGATGTGTGTAAGTAATTTGGCACAATGCCGATCATCTCAACACAATCCAACAAAACTTTATTCTCCGAGGAATAATGCAAACACATAGAAGAAACACATAATGGTGGGTGTAATGTCTTGTGCAGGGACTAACAATCATTGCCTGCCTTCATAGCAAAATTCAATAACATGTGCCTGCCCAAAGCAGAATGTAATATGCCGCAGTTTCAAAAGAATTCGTCTTTTTAAAAATCTTGTCCACATGACAGCTTTTGACTGTGGTGCCGACTAGCGACAATGATGACAGGCCTGTTTTAATTCGCATTGAATATTGTTGCAAAGTTGTTTTAAACAATGTTGATGCTATTACTCTGCAGATCAATTTTCCCATTTCGATGTTTTCCATTCCTAGTGGTTCTGATTGGAAGGCACACATTTTTTTTCTGTGTTCCAGTATAAGGTTTTTCCCCTTTTGGTCACCTTCACAATACCGTGCCCGCTTTTATATCTACAGTAGGATACACTGAATGCTCCAAAAATGTTTAGGTGTTAGTAACTACATGTTTGAGGATACACACTGTTGGATTTTATATTATTTTTAAGTAATCCCAACTTTTTGTTCACTTGGAGTACAAATTAATCTAGAAAATTACAATAATATCAGCTTGCATTGAACACATTAATCTATGCTGTGATATTGTAACAAAATATCCAATTGAGTTACTTAATTGGTCACTTTGAACAATTAAATTGGCTTTAACACAGTGTGATTGAGTGCATTTGTGTGTATTAAGGACCATTGTCATGATTCCTTAAGGTTGTGTTTTTTGTTTGCATGTGCAGCCGCCAAGCTTGACAATGGAAATGTGGAGCTCTCCTGGTTCCCAGCCTTGTTGCTACACAGGTATGTTGTATTCAGTCGTCTATTTCCAAGGCAGTTTTCGTCTGTTTGCAGCCAAATGTATCTATACAACTTGTTTAGGAACCATTGGAAACTTAAGATTATTTGAAAGTGTGTCTTGTTTAACATTGTTTTGGAAAAACCTGTGACTTTAAATGACTGCCAACTTACGGATTATAATTTGTAAGCTTTGCGAGTCTCTCCTGGGTGTGTGCTATGAAGCATGTTGGACACCTGCAGCCACTTACAAATGAATCATGTCGCGAGAACAACTCCCAGCTAGCCGTGTCTCAAATAATTGTGTTTCATGAACACACCCAAATTCCCCTATGAGCGTTAAAACCACTAAGGCCTTACTGCCGTTACATTCACGATGCTAAGCGTTAATGCGCTCGTTAGATGTTTAAAATGTAAATGACGCGGGTAGAGTGGTGCAACCAAACAAAGGAGTGAGTCGCTGATCCAATGTAGGGTTTGCTCCTCCCATTGGTTGTGGCAAGTGAAGATAATGAACAATTGTCAGTCACAGCAAAATATAGGGGTTTTTTCTGGTGTTATAAAGAAGTTAGTGTTATAGGGGGGAATGTATCGAGAGAAAATGGGATAATTGGCATTTTGTATTAATTCTGCTGTTCTGATAGAAATTGTTAATCTTTTTTTCTCCCAGTTTAGATAAAAAAATGTTATGTATTGTAAACTTTTATAATCGATTTGAGATCTACCTTTTAAAATTAATTTTAAGTAAAATTTCGATTTAAAGCTTTCGTGACTGCAGGGATTGATCTTCTTGGTTCTTTTGGTAAAGTCACGTAGAAGGGAAATAATAAAATAATCAAAATTAAACATAATAAAATACAATTCTCACGACGTTTTGGCCCTGTTCTTCACCTGAGGACGGCTGTTTGTGTTGTGGCCGAAACGTCGTGAGAATTGTATTTTATTATGTTTTATTTTTATTATTTTATTATTTCCCTTCTACGTGACTTTACCGAAAGAACCAAGAAGATAATTTTAAGTACTTAAATAATTTTTACCTGTCCGTGTACTGAACAGTAGTTGCATTATATTTACGTTTCAATTAATGTTAAATAATCACCATCGGTGACGTAAACATGTAAGCGCTAACATTGCCCAATGATAATTGAGATGTTTTCACTGAATAGTGTCTGAATCGGCAATGTAAGTTTCCACGTCATACTTCTGCTTTTCACTGCTGTTTATAGGAAGCAAGTTTTGTTTTCATAGGCCCCATAGATAGTGTACAAGTGTTGCACCAATTGAGAGGCAGTGATTTCTCACAAGTGGTGCGGCTTCACAAAGTAGTGCTTGTTTTATTGATCCTGGATGCATGATGGGCTCTTGATCCGAGCTGGGATTTAAACTATTGATGTTGTAAAGGGAGCACGACTTCTCTATCAACAGAGCTAATGGTTGAAATAAATTCGAGTGTTTTGAATTACAAATTATATTACCGTCTTTTGTCTTTCAGAATTCAAAACGGAGATGAAAAGGGAAGATTCCGTGAGCAGCGATCAGCAGTGATGAGTCAAGATCTGCCGTGGCTAAAGAATCCAAGGCCTCTTAGCGGCAGGCTGCTTTAGCACATGACCAAGAGGCACGGGTTATGATGACTGTAACAAAGTGGTCACGAGATATGGGCTGGGAAGACAGGTGGGTTATAATAAGCATGGCCTGATTATTAGAGGTGTTGAGGATTGAGACGGAGGTGCAGGAGGAGGGAGAGGCAGGAACAAGTTTTAAGGGGTCAAGCTGTGAACTGAAATAAAGCCGCGTGATGGAATCGAGTTGATGAAAGACTTTAGCATGAGAACAGGGTGCCTGCCGTCAGCTTCGATTTAATATGAAGTCACCACACAGAGACCGTGCCCCCAGTTCACCGCTGATGTGTGGGGCTGCATGCACGACTTTGCACCAGCTACACTGTCATACAATACTTTGGAAAAGCCTGGAAAAGCAAGAACGATATACGTACATTGGCTCATAAAAATTTTCAAAAAATGCTAACGTCTACAAGCAGGAACGCTTTTATGTTAAGGTGATGTATAATGCGGTGAGTGTAGACTACAACTTGTATAATTTGCTTAAATGCTCAGGTTCATGGTTGTGGCCTCGAACTCAAATGCAGAGTATACCTTCGAATGCTAAAGCTGTAGCTCAAAGCTTGACGAGGGGATTTTTACTGAATAAGCGTATGCTAAAATATGAATTTGTAATGGCAAAAAACAGGGTCATGCTTTTAAACGTGTTAATCCTGCAAAAGATGAGCCCAAGACTCAACATTCTTCACATTTAAAGGATTTAAAAATTATCACTTGTGGTTGAGTCTTCTGCTGTCAAATCACCCCTCAACCAACATTGTACAACACTTAGAGCCACAAAAAAAGTTTTTTATGGCTTTGTGATAAACGACATTTTTTAAAGTTCCCTTGGTATACATATTTGTTGTGTTTGATAGGGCTAATACTTGACATTGTATATACCAATTTATTAGGACCCAAAGGGACTGGTTTGTATTTAATGGCTACATTTTCTAAAGTATGTTCTGTTTGTATGTGCTGTTTGCATGTGTAAGTTTGTGCCAACCGTGATGCCTGTTTCATAAACGCATTTTCTGCAGACAAACTGAACAGTAACTCAGCCTCTTGTCAATTCAAGGACTCCTTTCAAACAGTTGTTGCATTGTAGTTTTACATGCCGTAAGAATTGAGTGTGCAATTGTCATTTGGAAAATTGTCACTCTTTTTCCAGTTTTGTGAATTGTTTACCATTTGTTTAAGTTGTTTAAATTCAAGGCAAAGCGTTGCATTTATTTTAGTGAACACGTTCACATTGGTTGACATGAAACCAATTATACACTGAGGACTTGAAAAATAATATAAAGGGATTTTTTAAACAAATTTAGACGTTTATAAAAAAAGTGAAAATTCTGTGAACTTGCATTGTAGTCTACAATTATTTTTTTTCATGATATATTAATACAGTATATGATGACAAACAAAGATGTTTTAATATTTAAGCAGGAAAAATGTATCAACGTTTGAGCTTTGTTGCAACCATTTTCATTTCCCTGTTTAGACTGCAAAGTAACTTGCAATTGTGTTTTCGCAGATACCCTTAGTGACTTGCATTTTCTGTACAGACTGACACAATTACGTACATTAACAAAGAACCATTAACAAATTGGCCAAACAGAATATCTCAATATTATAAACGTTACAACGTTACTAACTTTGTTTACATTAGATCCTTTGTAATGTAATTAGTCTGACTACCTCAGTGTAGATATGGTTTTGCAGAATGAGATCACAAATGAAAGTAAGTCTTCGCAGTGTATAACTAGATTGAGTAAATGTTTTGTAGCCAGTTCAAGTGTGCAACATTTTCCCAATAAAGTATTTTTAGAAATATTTGCAAGTACGTGCTCTCATTGATGTGTGCAATATGTAAATACACATCAAGGAATTGCCTTTTCAAGTCGCTTGTTTGTGTTATTTCTTTCAGCAGGAAGTGCCCAATGAGCTTCGAGACAATTTGATTGGCGTCTTTCAGCTTGTGATTTTCAGAAATTAATCTGAAGTGTTACTAGAGCGCACGTGTTTCGTATTCATGCATATATTTAAAAGGGTTTGGGTCTCCATGTCAAAACACTAGACTGAAGTCATTTATTCTAGAGTGCAGAACGTATACAAATAACTTTGTGTATAAACATCAAGGTATTTCTACTCAGCAGTGGGAACGACATTGTATCGTTCAATCGTAGAATGTGCGTGTTGTATATAATATTAGTGGGAAGCGGTAGTGTAGCGGTTAGTGTGCTACGCTATGAACCCGGCGCCCCGAGTTCGATTCCAGCTTACGACCAATACCAGTGACGATTATCTAAACCAGTCCTCGGCTTCCCCTAGATCGACTCGGCCTCAAATAATTACCTGGTGCTGTGTATAAACATCGCCGCTGGGGAGACAAAGGCGGCCGGGCGTTGTGCTGGCCACCCACTCCCTCGTGTGCCGGCCTTCATAGGTGCTCGTTAACAGCACTTGCCCCAACAGTGTTAATGCTATACGGGGGATCTTTGACTTTGTTTATATAATGTTAAGAGACACCGTGTTTCTTCCCTATTGCAGACCTCTCCCATCCTTCCAATTATATCATTGACACCACCACCACTTTAACCCTGCTTAAAGTGGTGTTTCGAGCAGCATTGAGGGTTCTGGATTGAACTTCCGTGCCTATAATGCCTTCCCAACCTTGTGCTGTCGTCAGACAATATTCTCCCTTTTCCTCGCCTATACCTGCTGCATTATTTTTTGCAGGGCTTGAGAAACGAAGTGCATTGTGAATTATTATGAACCACGACTGGAATGGCATTGGAACTTTTGCAGTACGCTGAACTCCAGTGTAATTATCGCTGCTCATTCCCAAATAGTGCTGGTCCAGCGGAGTTGCAGTCATTCTTTGGATTGCCTATCCCAGTACCTGTGGGACACTTCCATTTTCTCTCGCAGGGCATTCAATTAAGTTGCCAAATGTAATTTCCTCCTCCACCGATTGGATCTCATCTCGGATGGCAAGCAGTGTTATGGGGATAGAGTGCCCACCAAGAAAACTGTTAGGTCACTGGGTGAGTGGCTTGTGATGTTTACAAGTGGCGCTTCCCTGTCAGATTTGTTTTTACCAATTCCCCAGGATAATCTTTAAAAGTTACGTAAAACATTGTTTACAAGAAATGTCTGATTTTTCACGTAACTTCCAAGTGTCCCTCTAAAATTTGTACGAAAAAAATCCAGATTCACTCTTGATCGAAATGGCAAAAACACATCGTCTTCGCGATTTTTCCTCCTTGTTAGTTAACATCGGCACATTTTCACCAAAAATAGGCCAAAACGTAAATTGCCAACGTGATTATCTTTTTATTTATTTGCAACAAGCAAAGCTATTAACGATTAAACTATCCCAACGATTACATCAATTTGCCAACTCCACAATCATCACCTGTGTCGTGCACATTTTACAACTGCCGAGTTTTGACGTGCGAGCACAGTCATTAACAAACTCCGAAAATCCGTCCTAAAGTTTTTGCAAATGCAGTCTCTTTGTGATTTTGAGAGCGGTGGGGGGGCACGTGAAAGAAGTGATGAATGTGCAAAGCGCGCACTCCCATTGAGCTTCGGTGGCCTTCAGTGTTTACTTGCCACGTGATCCTTGTTACCATAGGTACACGTACAGACTCCCCCAAGCCATGCCTTGTGTAAAGAGGAAACAGAAAACGCATTTTCACACCTCGTGAGTCTCTGAAGTGTTAACTATTCAAACTGACATGCTCCGCGGACTCGGCTGAGTTCCTGGACCTGTGTTCAACGTAAGTTGGATTGGTGATCGCGTTAATGTATTATAGTTACTTATTGGTTGAGCAATTCATCTTTTCGTTGTGCGTGTGTTAGACATAAAGAGAGCCCGATTTGTTTTAAAGGAGCAGTGTATGGTTTTTCAGTGTGGTTTAAATGTCTTATGCAGTGCATTATGTAGCAAATATTAATTGTACAACGTTTAATTGATTGTGTACATTTAAATTCTGTAATAGCTTGGGTATGATTGTGCAATTTTAATTGGTATTTTAAGCTAGCGTGAATCTCAAAATGTTTACGTGTATACTCACTACACTATATACTGTGTTTTTGAGTATACGGATGAGGGTCACTTTATGTCTTATTGAGACACTAAATGTAAGCTACGAGTGTTTTAAAATGTATAAATCCAGTGCATAGACATCACTGCATTAACATCACCGCATATAAATAGTGTACTTTTGTGTTCTCTGATGTATTTACTCAAATACAAAGTGCAGTACAATGTCGTTTAGAGTTTACTTTAAATAATCTGTATTTACATCCGAAGGCTAAGTAGGTCACGTAACAGCACGTGTGTAGTGATTGTGTATGCAGTGTACGTGTGTATGTGTGCGAAACGTGGACCCCCTGTGATGCAGTGGTTCTTAATTTGGAGTGCAAGTAGCCCTGGGTGTGCGAGGTGCCTTTTCTGGTGGTGCGAGACATGCCAGATTTTGTTTAGAAGCTAAAGCATCGAAACACAAATTAAGCACGGGCACGGAAGTACGACTACTTTGTTTCATCAAACACTGTGTGTTTATTAACATACAATTTTATGATTGAGAACGAAAGGGGTGCAAGGCTGCAGTAAAGGTTAAGAACCACTGCTCTAATGAAACATCTTCGCCGGTTCAGGCTTGCATGTCTACGATCCACGTTGGGTTTAGCCAGACTGGATTGTAAGCAGCTCTCAAATCCTTGAAGTATCTGGACACAGTGCCACCGGTGAGCTCCTTCAGCAGGCAAGGTTGCATTGGCTGGGTCGTGTAGCCCACATGTCCAGCCACTGCGTGGCCAAACAGCTTCTGTTTGGCCTGATAGAGGCGCGGCACAGGCTATAGAAGAAAAGGGCTGAGGTGGTCCTGGAGATGTGGAGCTGAGTGGATTTGCCAAAGACTGACGGAGGAGCGACGCTCACAACGAGTGGAGCACCGGGCGGCTAAAATGCTGCAAGTTTGCAAAGTCGGGGGCACAGCTGGCGCATCTGCCAGTCTTCTCAATGAGTCAACCCATGGCACCTGGATCTGTCCCGTGACCTGCCAGCAAGCCATCGACACTTCAAGTGGCCTCGAAGTGCACCTAGCCTGGCACAGGTGCCGTGGTGATGTTACCGCAACTTTTTGGCCGAATGGCGCCTGTTGTATGCGTTAGAGGGGCTTCACACAAAAAAAACCCATTACTATCATGGCCAACTGGGTTGGAACGAGTCATCGAGGTGGAAAGTAAAATCTGAACCTGTCTCGAGTCTCCCCGAGGTCAGCTCACCCTGATAGGACCCGAGCTTTGTGTGTGAATATCAGCACTGGGGAGCTGACCCCGTGTCGGTACTAGCCACGCCATTTCCTCACCTTTCAAGGTGACCTTAATAGGCGCTCGCTAACAGCACTTGCCCCTATTTTCTGTCAGGCTGAACGGTGGAATACAGTAATTGTGTATTTTGCATGTGCGTGTTTTCACTAGGAGCACAGCGACAGTGCGGGTGTGCACCCTCTGTTGCGTTCACGAGTTGAGCTCGCGAACGGGACGCTGAAACCCACTTGAGCATCCCAGACGGCCACCCAGGACGATCTTTTCAACAGTAAGCTGACCTGATCCCTGTCCCCTGGAGGGGCATCTCCATGGCAATCCGGAAAGCTGAAAGGGAGTGGCTGGTGCTACAGGAAAGGTAAATATCTGCTTCTAGATTTGAAGCTTTCGTGACTGCAATGATTCATATTCTTAGGTTTTTTCGGTAAAGTCACGTAGGTAAAAACATTAAAAAGTAAAATAAAATAAAAATCACGACGTTTCGGAGGCAACACAAGCTTCCGTCTTCAGGTGGTAACCGTCACAGCCACGACAGCTGTATCAAGTAAATGAGAGATTGCAGGAGCTACCACTCCGTTTATATAATGGTAGCTCCACCTTCTCCAACCATTATATATACGGAGTGGTAGCTCCTGCAATCTCTCATTTACTTGATACAGCTGTCGTGGCTGTGACGGTACCACCTGAAGACGGAAGCTTGTGTTGCCTCCGAAACGTCGTGATTTTTATTTTATTTTACTTTTTAATGTTTTTACCTACGTGATTTTACCGAAAAAACCTAAGAATATAAATATCTGCTTTGGAGAGGTTTTTTTTTTTCTCTCCATTAAAACGTGAAGCATACACAGAGAGCTCACACACACACACGCGGTGAACTTAATGCCCTGCTAACATTGTAGATGCACCCAAGCCGCTGGGATTTCTGAACTTTGCTTCCTCGGCGAGAAGCAATGGCCAGGTGGAATTGTGTAGTGAAGTGACTCCCAACATTTATGGATCGGCGGATCACACTGTCAAACCCCAAATAATAATTTGGTGTTTTATGAAAAATATCTGCATCAGTTCCGCAGACGACTTTCCACAACCTTGCGGACCCACCCCGTGGCCTGTAGACCACAGGTTGCGAACCACTCCTGAAGCGCATGTCGGCATGCGCTGTGTTAGTCCCGTGTCTTACATTGTATGTTGAATTTCTTTCGCACCGTACCTAGCCAACCACGCTAATCGGAGGTGAGGGGGAAGGACAACAAACTAAACACAAACAGCAGTTCTGAGGAAATGAGTTTTCAATCTGGATTTCAAGATGTACAGCTCCAGTGGCTTCCGAATATCTGAAGGAAGAGCGTTCCAGACGGTCGCAGAAGAGCAGCCGAAAGCGCGTGATGCAGTGACCGCCTTTGTCCGATGGCGAGCCAAAATTACTGCAGATCGCGTGATCCATTGTTGATGGATGATGCTACGTTGTTGACAGCTGGATTTAATGTGAAGATTTACACCATAAAATGATGGCCGACCTTTATATGCACCGGTTATTACTAAATCACATCTCTACAGTGCAGTATATGCTGAAATTAAGTGGAGTTCTTTAGGATGAATCGACATGCACATGGGCATTACAATTATCATTCTTAAGGAGTGTTATTGTGCTACGACAGCGAATCCCATTGATATTTAACAGCGCTGGGTTATAACAATTCGTTGTATGGTTTTAAATTGTGATATTATAAAGTAGCAGATTATATATCCACACCAGCGCCGATAAGCGTAATAATTGGCTTAAAGGTAACAATTTTTTCTTTCGTATTTCGACCTCGTTTGCATAACTTACACAACACGAGGTTTCAAAGGACACCTCATACATTGAAATTAGTGGATCGGTGTGTATGAGGAATGCTCCAGCCAAAGATGCAAAACAAAATAGTTACATACATACAAATTAGCCACTTATCCCATAGATGGGGCCATGCACGTGATGATTGTCAACGCTGCTGGTGCACATCTCACAGGAAGCTGACCTGTGTGGGGTGAGCAATTACCCTCGGATTTTAACATTTGCATTAACTTAAATAATGTCATAACTGGCCATGTGGCAGAGCGAACGGCTCGCGATCGGAAAGGCAGCCAGTTCAGCTCCTGGTCGGGGGTTGACTCAGCCCATCAGCCCTCTGGAATTCATAAAACGAGTACCAGTTTATGGGGAAGTGAACAGTGGTTGTGCTATGCATACCTCGGCTTGCCCTGCCACAGGGATGTGACATTTCCCCCCTCCCCCACCCCTCACTGGCTCAGGGCTGTAAACGGATGAACACCATCTCAACGCTCTAATGAGCAGAAAAAAATCACTTTGACATTGTTTTGTTTGTCAAACATTGCTCAAACGCACGGAAGCCGTTTGCGGTGCACAATTACACACTTTCTCGTTCAATTTCAACGAGGTTAATGACATTTGCACGAGTTGCATTATAACACCCGGATAGATGCAGCGCATTTTGCATTCGTATCTAAATTAACTTTTTTTATTAAAGAAGGAACAACAAAAAAAGTGGGTCAGTGGCTATCTGCCAGTAGAGTAATGCTGTTGCTGCTGATGGTTTGCCCTGGCTTGTGGCCGGGACCATATTCCGATGGCAACATTTTTGAAATATTTTTAATGCGATAGGCAAATGCCTCATTGCGGAGATATGTTATGGAGGCCGCACACTGCTCTTCGACTGCAATCTACCAACACCCGATAATTCTCAATCTCCCCATAAATTTACCCAATCAATAAGATCAATGTAACTTTGTGAGTGTTTGGTGGAAAGCAGGTTAAGCAAGATTGAATATTTCTAGATTTGAAGCTTTCGTGACTACAAGGATTCATACTCTTAGGTTTTTTCGGTAAGGTCAAGTAGGTAAAACATTAAAATTAATAAAATAAAAGTCACGTAGAAAAAATAAAAAAATACCAAAATAATAGAAAGATTGAATATAAAATGAAAGCAACCCTGTGCGGTGGTTGTAGTGGGAATTATAACCAAATTTTCATCAAGCCATAGTTATCTTCAGAAATATAATGATGATGATGATAATAATACAGTGTTATATTTACAGCAGCTATAATCAACACGACTGTTATCTTTCTTTGTCTCCACGCAAGCTTTCAAAAGTTGAGAGAACAGCTGGGCTACCCCCGCTCAGAATGGGATGCTCCGTTGCCTAGCAACTCCCTCAAGGGACCTCAAGGAAGCTCCGCCCCTCCATTGCCACGGTAACCACGCTCTCCTGCTCATTAGCATACATGGGACATGTGAAAGGCATAAGTGCCCCGAGTAACGTTTAATTCAATGGACGGAGCATAAACAAATAGCGAAATAAATGTGCACACATTAGCTATGCTCCGTCTGCTTCGCTTGCACCGCAGAATTTGGCTCGCGCTCAATTTGGCTTCTGTTCAGTGAAGTTCTGGTGTCAGCGGTGCACACTTGACAGCTTTGAAGTTCAACCTGCCGTAGCACACGCACTGTAATACCGCTTCCTCTGGGTTCACGGTTCATATTTTGTAGGCAAACCAGAGCACCCTGATGACGTGTTGTGACAGAAATTGTGAAGTATTTGTGTAACCCGCTTCATAGGACCGTCTGCCAGAGTAACTCGATGAATGTGTAATCGTGAAATGATAATAATTCTCTGCAGAGATTAGTTTTATCAGGTGGGGCATTCAATTCTCCCCTGGGCTGTGTTGAGCTATATAGAACTTTTTAACGGCCATAATTGGATTGAAGACGTAAGTGTCACAAGTCAGCTTAGAGCATAGGTTCTCCAAAGAAACTGAAGGAAGCTTCCAAATCTATAAACTGAAAGGTTGGGCATGCTCCTCGGCTTGCCCAATGCATTTAATTACTCGTCCAATGAACACACAGAGGTCACTTGTAAACATATGTTTAGCTTGATATTAGCCACGGTCCACTTAAAAAAGAAATCTGCTAATTGCATCTACAAACCGTTCCTTTGATGTCAAAAGATAATGGCCACATTGCAGAAATTACCCTTATATTTGTACCACATAGCTACTTGAGATGCACAAAAGAAACATAGGTGAGGAGAAAATGGAGATGGGATACTTGGATATACACGCAACATATGTAGATATAAAGACGACGTTTGATGAAGTACAAGAACTGTGGAAACAGAGCAAGGCGTGCAACACTTAGCGATTACTTAGACATTGTTGAACACTTAATTTCCATTGTTAGAGGAATTGTTTGTAAGCGGTCTTTGGCATGGTTGACGTGAAGCTAAGAATAAAAGAGTCCACTTTGGGCAGAGACGGCTCGTGAAACATTTCATCAGCGTGAGCGTCGTGAAAGTGGTCTCATTTGCCAGGCAGTTTTCAGGACGCCCGGGGCATGGACCTCCCAAGGGGTGATCATCGCAGGACCCCTTTGTTTGAGCACCATCCCAGGTCAGTGGGGGACTTCCCGTGGCTTCGCCTGTAGAGAAACACTGATCCGCAAGGGCTCACGCAGGAGCGGGGCTGTCATCGTGTGCAGGTGCTGCAAATGCACCGAGCCCGCCGGAATGGACTGGCCCAGGTACCAGGCTTCGAATGTAGCCCAGGATACAGGGCTTTTATTCGGAGCTCGAGGAACTGGGCTACCAATATATCCCAGAATACAGGGCCACGTTTGTAGCCCCGGATAAAGGGCTTTATTTCATAGCCTCCAGATTCAGGTCTACGGAAATGGGGGAAATGTTATGCCCTGAAATCATTGGCCATTCTGTGCCACTGGTCTCGTGGCTAAAGAGATGTCTTCTTTGTAGCCGCTATTTACTCTCACATAATTGCACAGTGTTATTGGTTAGTATAATAGTGAGATGTACATGCAATCTTTTTTTTATTCTGTAAGCCAGAGATGACATGAGTCGTGATGGCAGGACTGGATTGTTAAAGCCATTGCTTCGAGACTTATTTGAATTGTGTAAAATATGATCAAATGCAACTATCAGTGTTGCACAGTGATAATGCACTGCTGATAGTGTTACTCTCCAGTGAATGGCGTTTAACCTTTCATTCAATGCTGCTTATTAAATTCTCACTGTGCATTTAACCAGCGCCGATGTGTTAACATTATCTTTGACATCGAGGCTGCCCCTAGCTAGTGCATTCCGTGTTTCGTCAAATAAAAACTTGAGAATGTATTTAAGCTTCCGCCTGAATGCGGCCGGTGTAGATGTAAAGCCTGGAATTGTGTGCACGTGCGAAACCTGTTGCCCCGTGCTGTTTTAATGCGCGGTAATTAAATCGGTGCGTTTCAGGAACGGTGCTTTGAAAGCTGACGTGGAGCAGCAACATGACCGTCGGACTCTGCGCCTGCCCAAACTGCCTGCTCACGTAAACATTACCGCTGCGTTACGAACTCTGGAGCGTTAAGCATCATCGCGTTGCTGGGTGCTCGTGTGGCCAGCAAGCTGGCACAGTGGTAGAGTGAGTGGCTCGGATGGTTGACAGTTCAAATCCTGGATGGGGAGGTGGTGGGGATTGGCTCAGCCCATAATCCTTCTGGGGTTGATAAAATAGGTACATTTCGATTTAAAGCTTTCGTGACTGCAGGGATTCATCTTCTTGGTTCTTTCGGTAAAGTCACGTACTTCCCTTCTACGTGACTTTACCGAAAGAACCAAGAAGAAAAATAGGTACAGTTTTGTGGGGAGGTCAACGGTGGTTGCCCTATGGTGAAACTCACCCCCGCTATCAAGAGGTGGCATTTCACCCATTTGCACGGGGCCGTAAATAGGTGATCGCAGATTTGATCAGAAAATCACTTTGTATTTTTTTGACCAGTTCTAGCGCTGGGGATTCTGACAAGGCAACACTTTGCCGTGTCGCCTCCCATGTGACGCCTCCACTCAAACGTGCTCAGGAAAATCACCAGAGATAGCACCACCCCTGCATGCAGTGATGCCCCCTTGTGTATACATTTTTCTTTTTTGTCATAATCGAATGCGATGTACATTGTGGCCAGTCATTTCTGTGAGACGAATAAACGAATAGAGTTTGAGATTTCGATTTAAAGCTTTCGTGACTGCAGGGATTCATCTTCTTTGTTCTTTCGGTAAAGTCACGTAGAATGGAAATAATAAAATTATAAAAATAAAACATAATAAAATAATTCTCACGACGTTTCGGCCACAACGCAAGCAGCCGTCCTCAGGTGGAGAACAGTCTCATTCAGACTCTGTCTTCTCGACAGACCTGTTCTCCACCTGAGGACGGCTGCTTGCGTTGTGGCCGAAACGTCGTGAGAATTATTTGATTATGTTTTATTTTTATTATTTTATTATTTCCATTCTACGTGACTTTACCGAAAGAACCAAGAAGAAGAGTTTGAGATCTTTGGTGATTCCTGGGACTACCTTGGCCTAACAAGTTAATTGAATACATTTGAAAAAAAACATTAACTTGATTCATAGTGATAGATGCATATACAAGGGGAAGATAACGAAAAATTATTCCCCATATAGCCATACAGACTCTTCTAGCCAGTGCTGTTCACGAGTACCTATGGAGGCTGGGACGGCACGGATGCTGTGGCCAGAACCACGCCTGTCCACCTTTGTCTTCCCAGTGCTGATGTTTACACACCGCACCGAGTACTAACTTAAGGCTGAGCCGATCTAGGGAAAGCCCGTCACGGGTTCAGATAATCGCCACTCATGTTTGCCATGGCCGGGAAATTCAATCAGGTCACCGGGTTCGTAGCGCAATGCACTCACCACTTCACTACCGCTCCCCACACACAACACCCACACACTCACTTAAAAGCCTATTGGTCGTGCGGTAGGCATCTATCACATCTACAAGAGGAATGCGCCCCTCTGTGGCAATTTAAATACCACATGGAGGCTGTCGATTCATAATGTTGACAACATCTATACACACACCCTGACCGCACGCTTGTCATCTCGCATAACTCACGCAGACGGGTCGCAATCACATCTCAGTCCAAGATACCACACACCAGAGGTCGCAACCGGGTACCCGATACCCGTACCCTACCCGATACCCGTACCATACCCGATACCCGGCTACCCGTACCCGGCCAGGTGCGGGTATAGGTACCCATTTGCGACCCTGGCCGGGTACGGGTACGGGTAGGCCGTGAGTCACTGGTGAGTAACCGTTTGTCACTCATTTCGGGTAGGGCACGGGTACGGGTAGGGAACGGGTACCCGTACCCGGCCGGGTACGGGTACCCATTTGCGACCCTGGTGCGGCCGGGTACGGGTAAGGAATCAAAACCCGTTTGCGACCTCTGCCACACACACACACGCTGGAGATGTGTACAGAGTGAATACACAATCACCTCCCCCACCCTGTCTCACCCGCATGTTCTAGTCCGCACTCCCACTGCTGCGTACTTTGGACAGCGAGCACCGCTCGTTGTTGCAAAGCTTCGTGGAAGATTTTATCAACGGCTTCCTTACCGACGAGCTTATCCCAGACACTCTCATTGAGGTGGTGGCGGGCGACTTCACGGAGGTAAATCGCTTATTCATCCCGCCTGAATATAACTACGAATGCCCAGCTGTCATACATTATCGATGAAATGTCATAGAGAATATATTTGACCGATTGTTACGTTGGCTCTCACACCACATAGGAGTGTGAATAATGTAAGGCATCGATCAGCGTGCCTTTGTGTAATACTGGTTCCCCAGTGGACACGTGGATGAAAACTGACTGCTCTGGAAGTAATTGTGTGTGGTGCAAGAGGCCTTGGAATGGTCAGCCTATGCTTTACCAGGTTGTACATTCTTAATAAAAAATAAAAGTTAAATGTTTGAGTGTGCTGATATAATGCAATCATAATACATTGTATTGTGGCACAGTGCCTTGACTAGGGTAATACCTACAATTGCTATGCATTATTTTTTTAAGTGCCATCTAATTTCCTTCAGTAGCCAAAGGGTCATCTTGTCCTTAATATATGCTGTGGCCCATGCTGTGTTGTGGCTGCAGGAGTGTCGAAGGTGATAATCACCCAACCTCTATTATAACCGTGTGGCTCAATTGGCCCTAATGATAAGCCACAGTGGAATTGTACCACTTTCTCTCACGTTGCTCTTCAAACTAGCAATGCAGTGCTCTGTAACATTAGGCTTCGTTAAATAGTCCAGCTTTACACATGTCGTCAATTTCTGTTCAATTTCTTCGGGTTTCATTTGATTTTTTTTTATCAATGTTAATTGAGCTGCATGCATTGCGCAACACACATGTTGGTTAAATTGATTGATATTAATGAGTGGGAATATTATCTGGAGCCGAGTATCAGTGGTCTTTCTTTTCCGGTGCCACTGGTAAATGTGAGAATACTGTTACAGTATCTCCATATATTCCACTGAATACAGATGCCAGATATTTTATCGAGCTTTTTACAACCGATTTTTTTTACTCATTGTAAATTATCATAATAGGAACCATTCTAATAGTAGAATTGAAATTGTTTAAGAGGTAGAGTGACTAGGTGTATGGTAACTGCACTGTACAGACTTAAATGAACGAATGGATATGGAGTAAATGAATTGAATGCAATACAATAGTTAAAGTTCAATCAATATTTATTTCCATAAAGCACAATTTTCTAAACGATGAATCTGTTTATGAACAAATAATACAATCAAAATATAACCTAACAAATATTAAACAAATATTAAACAAAGCATAGCCAGCAAGAATTAACACTCCAAGAAAAAGCTAGATTAAAATAGGTGACTATCGAGTGCAGTTTAAAACGCTCCGAGGAGAGGCCCTCTTAAATATAACGAGTCAGAGACTTTCATAGAGTATGGACCACAAATGCATAAGGTGGGATCTATGCTTAAGAGCAGAAACAGGTTCGTGTTTAGTGTACTTTGTCAGTAAAAATACCGTAGGTGCAACACAATCGTCAGAGTTCCAACGACATAAAGAGGTCTGTCTTGCCTTTATGATCGTACACTAAAGGATTTATAATTCAAACATCCTACCGTTGCTGTGCTCTAGCCAAGGTCTCTGGCCGTGTTGAACTGATATTGTTCTACAATGAGCTTGAACCTGAAAAGGAACAATTTAGAAAATCTAAAAAAATATTTGCAGATGTTAAGTACAATGCTACATTCAACGTTTTAGAATTATGTTATTATTCTATGTCAATGGTTCCAATGATGCACTTTCTTTTCTTTTCATTGTGTAGCTACGAGCTAATAATGTAAAAAACTTGACTTTCGCTGTAACCTTGTTTTGCTTCGATACCATTCTAAAGTACAGGTAATACGTGTGAATAGTTTTCACCAGTCTTGTATTAATATTTTTTAAAAACTAATTTAAATGTCATATTTTTTGTACTGTTCAATATTCGAATATGCAGTCATGTGAAAATCCTTATCCTCATTTATTGTAACGTTCTGACCAGCCCCTACTGTACATGTGAAAATGAGCTTCATAGTTCATCGGATTGCTCCAGTATAAATACATATTCTGATTCTGTATTCATGTATACTATGAGATCCCAACTGTGCTCAGTTAATTGACACTGTCACAATCAGAATGTGTATTTATTCTGGAGGAAATCCGATGAGCTATAAAGCTCTTTTTCACAGAGATCCAGTATATATCATACTAGGTACAGGACAATGCAGCGCTTGTGATACTTTCTTTTTTTCCTCTCTCCAAGAATCGGTCCGTGCACAAGGCCGTACGAAAACGCGACCATCTATCAGAGACCAACTCGTATGTTTTGGCTCAAGAGGCTAACTCAGCTCTCACACAAATTAATTCGAATTCTGCTTCTCTGCTTGAGCATCATCGCACACAAATATAACTGTCAACTGCATTCGTTACATTTTTCCACACTACAACAATACAATTCTCAAGATAAATATTGTACTGTATACTCTTTGGTTCTTTCGGTAAAGTCACGTAGGTGTAAAATAAAACATCGTAATTTAATTTATTTTAATCTTGATTTTAAGCTTTCGTGACTGCAGGAATCTATACTCTTTGGTTCTTTCGGTAAAGTCACGTAGGTATAAAATTCAATTAATCACGACGTTTCAGGCGCAACACAAGCGTCCGTCATCAGGTGGGAAAGCCCGTGATTTATTTTAAGTTTCTTTATTTTCTTTTATTTTATACTTACGTGACTTTACCGAAAGAACCAAAGAGTATGGATCCCTGCAGTCACAAAAACTTGAAATCTAGATTGTACTGTATGGCAATTTTTTCACAATATATTCATGTTTTTTTAAATGCTTTATAAAGTAGAATTAAATTTGTCTAAAATCACATTCTTAAATGTTTTTATTTGAAGGTTTAGAAATGAGTTTACCCAAAGCTGGAAGAAACAAGCAAGTATTCTGCCTGATGATATCACAGCTGAGGTGGCCATCCGACATAAGAGAGAAAGTCAGCTGACCTGGCCCCTTGGCCCTGATAAGTTGTCCATACCAGCCGTGAGAGCAGTGGTAAGTTCATTTTTTTCTCTACGTACAATGTTTTTGGCAAATAGAGTACAGTACATCTTCTTGGTTCTTTCGGTAAAGTCGCGTAGAATGGAAACGTCGTGAGAATTATATTTTATTTTATTATTTTTATTGTTTCCATTCTACGTGACTTTACCGAAAGAACCAAGAAGATGAATCCCTGCAGTCACGAAAGCTTTAAATCGAAAGAGTACAGTACATTGAATTTCGGGAGGAAAATTGTGATTTGTTAAGATCCGATGACTGGAAACATTTACTTAAAACAACGTGGAAGGTGTGACATTATTCGAAAATGTCCATTAGTTATGGCTTTCTTTGATCTATGTCTCTACCTAAGCAGAGCAACCCCTGGAAAGAGGCCTACTTATCACAGATCTGCCACGAGATTATCGCCGAAGTGGTTCGAGAAGAGGGAACAAAGGTGGCGAATTTCGTCCTTCAAAAGAGAGGCTCCTGGCAATGGCACACGGATTCCCACCAGCAGGTTAGTAGTTTCACCCACCCTACACGTAGGCATAAATTTCGATTTAAAGCTTTCGTGACTGCATGGATTCATCTTCTTGGTTCTTTCGGTAAAGTCACGTAGAAGGGAATAAAATAATAAAAATAAAACATAATAAAATAATTCTCACGACGTTTCGGCTACAACGCAAGCAGCCATCTTCAGGTGAAGAATGAGACACTGCCAAGCTAGGAGCTTATATATAAGCTGGGTTGGAAGTGGAGGTCGAAGAAGAGCGTCTTGCTTGGCAGTGTCTCATTCTTCACCTGAAGACGGCTGCTTGTGTTGTAGCCGAAACGTCGTGAGAATTATTTTATTTTGTTTTATTTTTATTATTTTATTACTTCCCTTCTACGTGACTTTACCGAAAGAACCAAGAAGATACACGTATGCATGTTTAATTTATTTCGCACAGTACGTAGCCAACCATCCTAATCGGAGGTGTGGGTAATTTGGTCGTGGGAATAAATAGTGCGTTTATATAAATACATGAAAAGTGGACTCTCAAATTACTCTACCATCGGCATGGCTAATGTCATACACACGTGATGATTACAGTGTATATTTAATTTTAAAGACCCTTTTGAATATAACTTCCAAGTATTTGCGGTGTATTTAGGATAACATATACACGAATATAAACACCTGGAGAGATTCTTCTTGCGAGCAGATTTCCCCTTCATTTACTTTCCTGCCTGCTGGTATAGTTCCAAGCAAAATGTGCAAACCAGTGGGTTCCCAACATCGGTTACAGAGCAGATCTCTGCTTTCATTCGTCAATGTCAGTGAATATATACCCTTGGACGTATTTATTATCGGGATACAGTGCCCCAAGATACTCAATGGACCTCATTACCTGCTATAAAGAACAACCCTGAAGCATTACCATGTGTAAAGGGGGGCATGCACAACACATTCTGGGCAGGAGCAAGGCAGGGTCAATGTTGAACTTGACAAAAATGTTTGACACTAAACGGGCAATGAGGAATTACAAATGCTTTTGTATATTATGCATTCTGCTCGAACTCGCCCCATATGTGTATAATTCTACAAATTGTGCACATTTTTGGATCCAGTCCTATTCCATATGTAGAGGTGATACGCGCTGGGATTACAGATCGTATGCCAGCGCGTAATGATTGGCTGTGTAGGTGGTGACATGCGCTGACGGTGGAGGATCAGGGGTCAGCGCGGGGTCGTGGGTTACGGGGTACTGATTGGCTGTGGACGGGTGACGTGCTGAGAGGGAGTGATCGGGTGGCAGCGCGGTGTGATTGGTGGAGGAGTGTTAACACGCGCTGGGGAAAACGGATCGTAGAGAGAGTGCGTCGTGATTGGTTCATTAAGGAGCGATGCTCACGTTGAAGTACGCATCAGCTCCGCCTCTCGTGAGCAGGGGCTATAAAAGGGGATGCACACAGGCGTGAGGGCAAGGTGTAACCAGCGAAGAATGAAGACGGGGATGAAGACCTAGGGCCCTGCGGTACCTAGTCCCGCTGTCCTAACGGGACCGGGACTCTGTGTAACCCAGAGGCGAGTGTAGTGTGTGTAGCCATAGGCGTAAGGTCTACACGAGCCGAATGCAGTGTATTGTGTAGCCAGGGACATAGGGTCTACACGAGTCGAGTGTATTGTGTAGCCAGGGACATAGGGTCTACACGAGTCGAGTGTATTGTGTAGCCAGGGACATAGGGTCTACACGAGTCGAGTGTATTGTGTAGCCAGGGACATAGGGTCTACACGAGTCGAGTGTATTGTGTAGCCAGAGGCGTAGGGTCTACACGAGTGAAGGGTATCGTGTGTAGCCAGAGGCCTAGAGTTTACACGAGAGTAGTGGAGTGTGAAGTCGGAAGAAAGGAGACTACACGTTGTATTTTGATACGTAAAGATTTAATAAAAGTGTGTTCCCGTCAAGAAGTTCCTGCCGTCAATTCCCATACTTCAACTGGCGTCAGAAGTGAAACGGTCTTCCAAGCATGGATACAAGGAGGAACCGTCGGACCCACGGGATTGACCACGGGGACAACCTCGACGACGCGGGTCAACTGGCATCGGGGGGTGAGGAAGAGGAGTTGCCCACGGGGCAGGATCCGCCGACGGCGCCGGACGAGCCACGGGGGACTGACGCCGTGCTTCGCGAAGCGCACTCCCGTCTGGCGGAGCTGCTGCTCGCCGCCGCGTCCATCTTGGCGGAGATCAGCTCGTCGGGAGGAGCGGGAACGGCGGCCGACGTTCTGCAGGGTCGCCCTGCAGATTCCCGCCAAAACGATTTGGCGATGGCCGCCATTTCATCTGCACCGACTTTTGGCGGGAACGGCCATCACCACGTGGCAGCGGTTCTCCATGCGCGCCCGCTGACGTCACCAACGCGCGCGGCGGACCGCCATCACACACCCGCCGATGGGGCCGCCATCTTACACACCGGCGGGGCGGCAGAGAGGAAGCACGAGGAGGAGGACGACTTCATTTTTCAGCAGCGCCTTCCCACGTTGTCAGCCTTCAAGGCGGAAGGCGGGGATTGGAGCCAATTTCAGCGCAGATTTTTGGCGCATCAGGAGATGTCCGCCTGGTCCGACGCTACGGCACTGCGGGCACTGCCTGCCATGCTGGATGACAACGCGCTCGCGGCCTTCACGTCCGCACGCAGGTCGGACCGCTCCACGCTCAAAGATGCGCTGGCTCTCATGGCCAAGGTCTATGGTCCTCCCTCCGCGTGCCGCCATCATTTTTATGCAAGACAAAAGGCGGACACGGAGACCGTGCTCGCCTACCGCACGGCGTTGCTTGCTCTTGCCGACGCCGCGTTCCCTCGTATGGACGAGGAGGGCCAAGATGCCATGGTTTTGGAGCAGCTGCTCAAGTTGGCGCAGGACCGGGGGGTCCCCATCAACACGGCCGATGAGACCGATATTTCATCCTTACGGGTCGCCACAAGCATACAAGCGCATGAGGTCCTTCAACGTAAACAGGGAGTCGTCTGCAACGCTGCCGTGGCCTCAACTCCGGGCCCAGTTGTCACCGTGCCCCAAGTCGTCAGGAGGCGTTCATCGCGGGACGACCGGGGGACTGGAGATCGGGGGGTCGTTCGCCTCTGCGAGCGGCCCGCAAGCTGGAGCAACCGAGATCTCCGACGACTGTCATCACCTGCTATAACTGCGGCCTCCGGGGCCACGTGGCCTCCGGTTGCCGCGCCCCACGTCAGCGCGCCATGGGACCTCGGCTGGACGACGACCAAGGCCCCAAGTCGTCCCTGCAAACCCCGGCAAGTCGCGGCACCTCACATGCTCGGCCCGCATACTCGGCACATATGGGTCGTCGCGTTGCGGCGGGGGAGAGCCGAGTAGAGTTCGGGGATTCGGTTCAGAGAGGGCGATTCGGCCGGGACCGGGGAGACATTAAATGGTCGGAGTTGGGGCACAGAATAGTGGCTGCCTCAGCGGGTTCATCCGTAGTTACCGGATCTATTGATGGGGTCGAGGTCAGGGTGTTAGTGGACACGGGGGCATCGGCGACTATTATATCGGATCTCATTTATAATATTCTCCCTGTACAATGTCGTCCGCTTCTTCCGGTGGATGTGCCATTTTACGCCGCTAACGGGGGATCGTTGGGCATTATCGGTCAGATTAGGGCATCCATTTGCATTGGTGATATCAAATTGTCGGGACCCGTTTTTGTTTCGTCCTCCCTGGCGGTCCCTTGTCTATTGGGCACTGATTTTTTGGCAAAAATGCCCATCAAAATTCTCATTGATCAGCGTTGCATTGAACTACCATCGGGTCGCCGTATTTCATTTTTGACGAGCCCTAATGAAATTCGGACGGCGTGCGCTACCATACAGGCGTTAGCGACACAGACCGTGCACGTGCCCCCGGGTTCACAAATGTTAATTCCCCTCCGGTTGCGGAAGCCATGGGTGAAGGAGGCCTCGGAACAGGGCATGATTTTGGGTCCTTCTAATAGGGCTGTTGGAGGTCTCGATTTGTCGGTGGCTCACACTTTGGTGGGGGCTGACAGGGATCCGTTTGTGATGGTTTTAAACGCTGGGGCGCGGCCGGCCGTCATTCAGCAGGGCACCGTGCTAGCTCACGCGGCGCGGGTCCCTGCGGAGGAGAGGCTGGTTGCGCAGGCGGATCCGAGTCCCACGAAAAACGTTACATTGAAGGAGGACCTCGATTGGGTTGATTCGCTGTGCGCGGACTCTGACGATTTATCAGCGGTACAGTTGGGTGCGCTGCGCGGGTTGCTCATTGAATTTTCGGATGTCTTCAGTAAACATAAGTATGACATTGGGTGCACGGACCTGCTACGCCACCACATTGAAACGGGCGATGCGGCACCGGTCAGGCAAAATCCCTTCCGACTGAGTCCTGCTGAGAAGGAACATGTTCAGTCGGCAGTTAACGATATGCTAGAAGCCGACATTATTTCGCCTTCCTCCAGTCCTTGGGGAGCGCCTATTGTGCTCGTTAAAAAGCAGGACGGGTCCCTGCGATTTTGCGTCGATTTCCGTCGCCTGAATAAGATCTCTGTGGCCGACGCGTATCCGCTCCCCAGGATGGACGAGTCTCTCGACGCATTGTCTGGTGCGCGATACTTTTCGACTCTTGATTTATTATCCGGATTCTGGCAGTTGCCACTCGACGAAGAGTCTAAGCATTTCGGACTCCAGGGGGCCTGTTTCAGTTTAACCGGTTACCCATGGGACTTCACTCCTCTCCGGCGACGTTTCAGCGTCTTATGGAATTGGTTTTGTCGGGCTTGCAGTGGGATACGTGCCTCATTTACCTTGACGATGTCATTGTTTTCGGTAAAATGTTTGAAGAACACCTCCAGCGATTGAGGGGGGTGTTCTTGCGAATGCGATCGGCTAAATTAAAGTTTAAACCGGCCAAATGCCACCTTTTTCGTAAATCCGTGAGGTACTTGGGTCACATTGTCGACTCTTCGGGGATTTCTACCGATCCTGCGAAGACGGACTGTGTCAGTTCGTGGCCAACGCCCACGTCAGTGTCAGACGTACGCAGTTTCATCGGTTTTGCTTCGTATTATCGCCGATTCGTTGAGCACTTTGCCACCATTGCAAAACCCTTGCACGCTCTAACGGCGAAAGGAGTGAAGTTCCGATGGGGACCGGAGGAGGAGGCTGCATTCTGCTCCCTCCGGGACGCCTTGGTTAGGGCCCCACCCTTGCGCTATCCGGACTTCGCGAGTCCCTTCTTGCTAGACACGGACGCTAGCAACACGGGCATTGGGGGAGTGCTGTCCCAAGTCGTTGGAGGGGTCGAACGAGTGGTCGCCTATGGTAGCAGGGTGTTGTCGCCGGCAGAGCAGCGCTACTGCGTCACCCGTCGCGAACTGCTTGCCATTGTTTTTTCTGTACAACAATTCAGGCCATATCTCTATGGTCGTCATTTCACGGTCCGGACGGACCACGCGGCGCTCCAGTATTCATTGCGGGTCGCCCAGCCCTCGGGCCAATTGTCGCGGTGGTTGGAAGTCCTCCAGGACTATCAGTTCACGACTACGTACCGTAAAGGCTTGCGACACACAAATGCCGATGCCCTGTCGCGGTTGTTGCTTTGTCACAAATGTGCGTGCTTATCGGGATCGGCGCGCTGTAAACCGCCGGTTACGGAAGGTAGGGAGGCGTTGGTTGCGGCCGCGAGCACACCAATTGGGGATAATCCCGCTACCCCTGGGGGTCAGGACTCGCTGCTCTCAATGTCATTGATTGAGTGGGGCCGTCTCCAAATGGCGGACAGCTCCCTGCTGGCATTGCGCCGCAAGACGGGGGGTTCCGAAGGTAACCACGACCGAACTGGCTCCTACGAGCTTAAGCAAGGCCTATTGATGAGATGGGACAGTTTGTCCCGGCGGCATGCGATTGTGGTGCCTGCTGCTGTGAGGGGGAAGGTTGTCTTGGCCGCACACGAACGCCTCTTGCATTTGGGAGTTAACAAAACGCTTGCCCTGCTTCAGCGTGACTATTATTGGCCGGGAATGGGGGGTGACGTGGTGAACATTCTGAAGGGTTGTGTTGAGTGCGCCAGACGGAAACCACCGCCTGTGCCAGCTAATCCACCGCTGCAATCCATCCAGGTCTCGCGCACTAACGAGCTCGTTGCACTCGACATTCTGGGGCCTTTTCCGGTCACGCCTAGGGGTAATAAGTACCTGTTGGTGGGGGTCGAATATTTTACCCGGTGGCCTATGGCGTGGCCACTCGCCAACCAGTCGGCGGCGGCTGTGACGGACGCCTTTGTCCAGGGCTACGTCCTGGACAAGGGGGCTCCCGAACGCTTGCTGACTGACCAAGGGAAGAATTTTTCGAGTAAATTACTGCAAGAGGTGTGCGACCTGTTGGGTACCAAGAAGGTGCGTACCTCCCCGTACCACCCGCAGACGGACGGGATGGTGGAGAGGCTTAACAGGACATTGACTTCTATGTTGTGCCAGCAGGTGTGTGAGGCGCATGTTGATTGGGACCTGCAGGTCCCTGGGGTCCTCGCCGCGTATAGAATGGCCCCCCATGCAGCTACGGGATTTTCCCCGTTTTATCTGATGTACGGTCGGGAAGCCGACCCGCCCATGGAAACGCAGCTGGGTCTGTCCGCACCACGAGCAAATTCGAAATTGGCAGAGCATATTAAATTTAATATTCATAAGCTGACAGAGGCAAGGGAGGCCGCACGGCTTAATTCACGGGCTCGCCAAATTGCAAACGAGCGGTTGCGGGCACGGAAGGTGTCCGTGCACAATTGGGAACCAGGTGACAGGGCCTGGCTGCATTGCCCGCAGGCACCTTTGGCTACGTCGCCTAAATTGTTGAAGCCGTGGCGGGGACCCGTGGAGGTCGTGCGGGTTGCACGCCCCCAGTGCGTTCAGATAAAATGGGGAAAACGCCGTTGGTACGTCCACCCCTCCCGACTGAAACCGTTCTCGCCTCCGTATGGCCTCCCCTTGTGTCATGAGGGCCGAGCATGTGACGTGACCAGCGACCCTGAGGGGGAATTGTCTTTGCCTGCTCCTCACATGTCTCCGCCTGATCCGCTCCCAGGTGTCTCGGAACTGACAGCTGCCGACCACCGGCGGCAGGATCTTGAGCAGCCGGAGCCACCGGACGGTCGCCAACGTCCCGTCCCATACGACGGACCGGCCAGACGGACTCGCGCTAGGTCGCGCTACTTTGTGTGACCTGCCACGTGAGGAGTCGAGGCAGCCGGAGCGCCTCGGCACTGCGTTTAGTCACAGAGACACTTGGCGCGTTCGTTTTCCGGTGTTCGCTTTTATTGTGTTCGTTTTCCGGTGTTCGCTTTTATTGTGTTGTTCGTCGGGCTGTATATTGCTTCATATTTAAGTGTTGTGTTGTGTTGTTGTTGTTGCGTTACGGGGCACACTGAGAGGTGGAGTTTCTTTGTTACTGCATTGACGTTAGGTTGTGTTGTTGGTTAACAGCCGGGCCGGCTGCAAGCTATGTGGGAGGGGGTGATGTAGAGGTGATACGCGCTGGAATTACAGATCGTATGCCAGCGCGTAATGATTGGCTGTGTAGGTGGTGACGTGCGCTGACGGTGGAGGATCAGGGGTCAGCGCGGGGTCGTGGGTTACGGGGTACTGATTGGCTGTGGACGGGTGACGTGCTGAGAGGGAGTGATCGGGTGGCAGCGCGGTGTGATTGGTGGAGGAGTGTTAACACGCGCTGGGGAAAACGGATCGTAGAGAGAGTGCGTCGTGATTGGTTCATTAAGGAGCGATGATCACGTTGAAGTACGCATCAGCTCCGCCTCTCGTGAGCAGGGGCTATAAAAGGGGATGCACACAGGCGTGAGGGCAAGGTGTAACCAGCGAAGAATGAAGACGGGGATGAAGACCTAGGGCCCTGCGGTACCTAGTCCCGCTGTCCTAACGGGACCGGGACTCTGTGTAACCCAGAGGCGAGTGTAGTGTGTGTAGCCATAGGCGTAAGGTCTACACGAGCCGAATGCAGTGTATTGTGTAGCCAGGGACATAGGGTCTACACGAGTCGAGTGTATTGTGTAGCCAGGGACATAGGGTCTACACGAGTCGAGTGTATTGTGTAGCCAGGGACATAGGGTCTACACGAGTCGAGTGTATTGTGTAGCCAGGGACATAGGGTCTACACGAGTCAAGTGTATTGTGTAGCCAGAGGCGTAGGGTCTACACGAGTGAAGGGTATCGTGTGTAGCCAGAGGCCTAGAGTTTACACGAGAGTAGTGGAGTGTGAAGTCGGAAGAAAGGAGACTACACGTTGTATTTTGATACGTAAAGATTTAATAAAAGTGTGTTCCCGTCAAGAAGTTCCTGCCGTCAATTCCCATACTTCACATACAATTTGTATCTAAAATGTTGCTTCCAAGTTAAAAGGAGACCACAGCAGATCGCCCAGTCTGAGAAGTCACCACATAATAATTGACATCTATTTGCAAGGCGCCTTCAACTAATGTATCAAGGCGCCTTGTAAGATTAAGGAAAGGCCAAGAGAGTAGAGCTAAATAGAACATACTTAAATGTGTTTTTAGACGCGACTTAAAATATTCCACATTGTAGGTCAAACCATGTGGGACACCCTCATTATCAGAGCCGCAAATGACGGTTCTTAAATTTGTACCAATATTTCAGGACTTGATTTTGAGAATTTAGAAAGGGGGCTGAACCTTCAGCAGGCAGAGGGTTCAGCTCCCTTCCACCCCATTCCCTGCGATGCTTTGGGGCTGATATCGACCACGCACTTTAGCAACCACGAGGCACAGCAGTAAGTACGTTATTTGGGGCCGTCCAAAAATGACGTCACGCGATTTTGGACGATTTTTGACGCCCTCGCCCCCCTTCGTCACACGGCGTCACAAGAAGTCAGACCCCCCCTCAAATATGACGTCACAAAGCTATGCCACCCCCACAAAAAAAAACATGCTTCAAATCGCTTTAAACTATTGTCATTGTAGTGCGTATTTAATGTGGCGCTGCACTCTGATGTTGTAGGAGAAACATTTATAAAAAAAAGTATATTATATTAAGTCGAACGTGTTGTCTATTTATTTCAAGTTGCGCATTTTGATGTGACGTCACATTTCTCAACCCCCCCCCCCCCTCGTCACACATCGTCACAAATGTCTGACCCCCCCCACCCCACCAGGTGCGTGACGTCATGGATGGACGGCCCCTTTTTCAGCAAGGAGAGGCTCAATCTCGACCCACGGGGTGTTGATGCCTGCGTCGTTTTTCTTTCTTTCAAGGTGGCTGATGTTGCAGGTGGGAGGCTCCTCGATGGCTTTGTCTTGCAGCAGCTGCTCGTGATCCTGGGCCATGACGGCGGAGCCGTGCTGCGGCGCGAAATGCAAGAAAAGCTTCTGCATGGTATGACGAGATTGGGGGTGACCAAGGTGTAACGGCCCATAACATAGTTTGCGTCTAAATACTTTAAAACAAAACATGATTCAACATTTCACTCTTGGACACAACCAGTATTCCATCTTCTCTTCCGTCAGTCGTCACATGGCAGCCGACGATGAGGTCTGAACTTTGTCAAATCCTTCCTTTCTCTGATCATGGAAATCTCTTCCTCAATACCTATATATTTATTTTACTTTTAAGTCTCTCCTTTGCATCAGTCCACCTCTTGCATGGTCGGCCTCCTCTTCTTGCTACTTCCACATGGCTGTGCAAGGCCATCGATGGTAACGTATTTCTATATCTTGCACCAAACACCTGCTGGCCTAGATTTTATACTTGTAATCTTCTTAGATACTCCCTGGATTCCTCTCATCCAGTTTTTTTTTCTGGCTACCAGCTTATAAAAGTTTAAGCAAGTGATATGTTATAATACCCACTGTAGTACTTAATGTAGGAGAAAAGTTTGCTTTAGACTAGGCGATGAGTGATAATTCTTTCGCGAAATCCAGATTTACACTCAAAATGTTTAAATACAATAATTGAATTTTTATTATCTAGCAGTAAAAAAATATTCTATAATATTACATTATTTGATTTGTGAAGCTTGAGCGTGAAGCTCAAACAGGAGCTAAGAGAATGCTGTATTGCAGTTGCACAGGACATCTTTGGTATAATTAATCATCGTTAAACAATTGAAAGAGTATATACTGTATGTAATGTCTTCTGTATGCTTTGTCGGTAATGTAGGGGTGCTCATGAGCCTTTTGTTACGGAGGTTTCTTGACATCACTCAGCATGAGAATGTAACTTTGAAAAATTACAAGCTAAAACATCTCCACGTGAAGCTGTTTAATGATGTGGTGAGTTAAACTAACAAATATTATTTCATACAAACAAGTTAAGTCTCGCACAGGGTAATGACATTTCCTATACTCTTTGGTTCTTTCGGTAAAGTCACGTAGGTATAAAATTAAAAATTTGTGTGAGTGGGGGGGAATTGAGAATATTACAATATATAAACTAAAGAAAATAGCAAAGACGATGCTTGACCGGTGCATCATATTTCTAAATGCCCCATTCTGCTCATCATATGGTTTTCTAAATGTGGGTGTTTTTAAATGTGTAATTCTACTGCATAAAACTACCGTATACTATTGGCTTTGCCTCATCGTACAATGTGTGGGTAGTTTACACTGGCCCAGAAACACCTATTGTTCACAAACTTCACAAGTCAAAAACGAAGCCAACCTACCTCGATTTCACAGAACACTGTCAGTTAATGGAGATGTAGATTCAATTGTTCAATCCACTGCTGGAAGAAGGCCTCCCCATACCATGCTGGTCATGAGGATTGTGTGACCATACTTCACCATACTCGTCAGTAGTAGTTGGTGAAGGGCCAGTTCAGATATTACTGGCCACTGATGTTAGCCATGGTCAGGAATGGAACTCAAGATCACCGAGTTTGTAGCGCAGTGCGCAAACTGCTGTACCTCAGCCCAACAAAGTGCTGAGGACCAACACGCTCAGGCATATTTTATTTACGCAGGTTTTCCAGTAAGGTATTGCAGCTGCAACAATGTGGTTGTATAACCAGCATAATAATTTCCATTGTATAGCTATGCAACCAATGTAGGAGAGCCGACGTTCTTTAAGGTGCCTTAATAATTTTGTATGTTTTGTGTGGGTGTGTGTGGCCAAGGCCTGCGACGTGATTCTTGATGAACTGAGCCACCAAGTGGAAGAGGATATGGAGGAGCTGCATCAGAGAGAGTGCCATGCAGGGAGAGGGTACGCTGGTCTATGAGGAGGTGCACGCTGGGTCAACGTACTTGCACCTGACATTCTGCCTTCTTGGTTTCTGTCCGCCAACACGTGAAACCAATTACTGTATAGCCAATATAATGGAACCCTTTGATATGCTGTTTCGTGAATTATGGGTGCCTTTGTTATAAAATAACCCATATTATTCAGAGTTAATCATCCTCTTGAATCTTATAAAATTCAGCATTTTTATGAATAAACGAGCTCTAAATGACATTTTTACTATTGTCTCTCCTCCACATTAAACATAAATTGTTGCTTCCTCTCTTGATTGTGCACAGTAATGTCAGAAACTTGCAGGTGAACGATGTGATTTATGTAAGCTGAACATCATTTACCTTTGACCAAATTAGACTGACTGTAGCCAATATTATCACAGATTAGAAACAATGGATTATTGAATCTGTCTGTGCGGAGCTCTTGAGTATCGTTCCCTTGTGCTGATTGTCTTCCCTGGGTCCTCATTTACTCAACATCCAAATGCAGGATTCTTTGGGTCTTTCGCTATAGTCACGTAGATAGGCTCAAAGAAAATAACAAAAATAACAAAAAACTATGACGTTTCGATCGCAACACAAGCGCTCGTCATCAGGATGCGATCGAAACGTCGTAGATTTAGTTATTTTATTTGAACCTATCTACGTGACTTTACCGACCCAAAGAATATGAATTCCTGCAGTCACGAAAGCTTTACGTTAAGATCGCAATGCAGGATTCTACCGAAAAGAGCCTTGAGATTCATTAAATCTTTCCTGGATATATGAAGAGAATGATTATTTAAACCTGATGGTCATGAAATGTATAAACATTACGTTCTTCCAGGCTTAAACATACCCGCCGTCATGTGAATCATGGCCACTTTTCATAACGGTGCAGTATATATTGTATTTAACGTGAACTGTTAATGTTACCTACTGTATACATGATCAAGTGTGAATACAGTAATCTGTATCGTATAATTAAATGGGCAAAAAATAAAACAGCGACTTGTATTGTATATATATGGCATACATGTTTTATTCAGCAGCATTTGTAATTCTTGAAATTGCCAATTTCATTACTATACTAACAAATCTTGGACCCTATTTTCCACATGGTATGACGTTTTTCTCTGTAAATTCAAATAAAATGTTGGAGGTGCATCTTAGCGTTGTGTGTGTGATCAGATTTGTATAACTTCAAAATCAAAATATTTATTCATACTGGAGGAACCCGATAAGTTATATGGCTCTTTTTACACATGTCCAGTAGGGGCGGGTCAGAACGTTACAACACCAAACAATACAAAAACACGATAGTGTAAAAAGTACAAGGTAAAAAAAATCACCCAAACACATACAAATTAAACTAAACCATCCCCATTCTGTCAGACAAAGGCCACTGAGTATAGGAAAGATAAAATCCCTTAAAAATATACAAAACTAAACAGTTTTATCTTACCAGGTAAAGGCCACTGAACTATTATCTTCTTTTTTCAGAAGCGACCTGGCCACAAGTGATAGTTCAACGAAGTGGCTTATCATGTGGAAATGTATTGCAGCAAAATAATCTAAACTTGACACAGGGCTCAAGTTTTGGGTGCGTCCTACTTTCTTTAGTGTTGCTAGACTCACAAAAATACTCGTGTAAATAATTTAATGAGAAATAAATAAATAAAGCACAAACCGATAGGACTGGAATTTTTTTAATTCGCTTTACAACAAAGTTAAGGAATTTAACTGAGATATAATGGAGAGTTCAAAGAACATAGCAAGTCTGGTGTAATTTGTAATTGTATTAATGCCAATATTTAGAATTTCTAATCTCCGAGAATTGTAAATATTTAGGGGCATTCAAAAATGTTTAGATCTCCACTTGTGCCTCTCGTGTTTATTCTGATGGTTTGCGTTTTCAATTTAATCTCATTGAGGCTCGTGTTATTTTCTGTCGAGTAAAATTAAAGTTAAAGGTGTACGTACGGTAGCCCTGAAATGTATTGCCCAAGCCACTGCTGGTGGAACGATCTCCACAAGAGGGAGCCCTAGAGAAATGTAATGTAACTGGAAATGTGGATTTTCTCCCCAACACACTGGTGTGCTGTACTAGTAACGAATTGGCATGTTCTGTTTACGTGACAAACCTAGTTATTGCAGAGTACTGTGCGTTTTCTACTGTACTGGTCATGTGGTTGCTTCAGTGGTTGAGGATATATGGGTCTCCCCCATCCCCCACAACCCTGCCCCTCCACCCTCTCACCCTTCACCACCCCCTCCATTCCCCCACTACCCCTCCTCTCCATTTCCCATTGGTCTCCCCTCCAGCCACTACCAGGCCTAGTCATAGTCAACCCGCCCCTCTATCTGCATATGAGGAGTGGGGGGGGGGGCGTTATAGCGAAGCCGCCCCTCTTTAGCCCTGCCAAGCGTTAGTCACACAATGACAGAATGACAGACCTGGGTGTTTATACATATTTCTATATATTCAACGTTTTATGTACATGAGATTAATCATGATGGATATTGATGAGGTGTTACATGCTGAAGATCTCTTGGAAGACAACATTTCGGGTGAACTGACGATCATCATTCAGAAGCAGTCCTTGTTGACGATTTTGGTGTATGCAGACTTTCACGTTGCTGTGACTTCTGGAGCGAGAAAGTGCCACGTAGAACTGTCCGTGTGAGAATGCGGCGGTCTTCAGATTGATTCCGAAATTATTAAAAGTTTGTCCCTATGTCTTGTTGATAGTAATTGCATAAGCAGGAATGACCGGGAACTGTCGTCGCTTCAAGACAAAGGTAAGAGTAGTGTCGGTTGGAGCCAGATCGATTCAAGGAATAAAGACCGTGTCGCCTCGGTTGCACTCAAATATGATTTCAGCTGTGATGAAATTGCACTGGAGACTTGTGACAATCAATCGCGTTCCGTTGCACATTCCCTTCTTCGCATTCAGATTTATCAGCAGCCTGATTACAATGCATTTCCTTAGCAGCAGAACGTGCGGCAGCATACCTGAAGGTGTCTGATCGTTGAGAAACTCAACTGAAAAATGCATAGCATCGCTGGGATCTTGGGAGACTACGGAATCAGCGCTATAATATATATCTGGATTTCCTGGGATGAGACTTATGATCTGTCGATTAAGCTCGAGTGTTTGCTTGTTTGTTGAAGACACGATCACTCGTTTCGCCAAGTTTTCGACCAACAATTGAAGGATCTCAGTTCTGAAGATTTCACCAATAAGATTGGCGTTCGTCATCATTTGTAGAGGAATTTGTATGATTTTGTCGTCGACTCCTGGAATTGGAGCGCCATTTCCTGTTCCAACTTGCAGAAGCCAAGTATTGTGGTCTTCTTGTCCTTCGCTACGCATGTTGGTCGTGAGAGTGAGATTCAAGAAATGTCTCCACAGCGGACTCGATTTTATGGACGTCTAAATGATGTCCGTTCTTGTTCCTTGTGGCACGACTGGCAGAGTTTGACGGAAATCTCCTCCAATGATGAAAGCTTTTCTTCCAAACGGTTTCTCGTTCTGCACGATTTTGTGAAAAAGCTTATCAATGCAACGCAGTCCATGCTTTGGAAGCATCGTGATTTTGTCGATGATGAGTTTTGGCTGTGCGAAGGACTTGCGCTTCAGGTGAATGCGGTCGCATTAACGAAACGGAAGTGTCGAATAGTGGATCTGGAAGCTTGAATCCACTGTGAGTTTGAAGATTTGTGCAACCAAGTCCAGCCAATCTGATGACTGTTCTCCTGGATGTAAGTTGGTGACGATTTCAGACCAATTGGGATTCGCTGTCATGGTAAGAGATCTGGTACACCCCATTTGTGGAAAAATTACAGCATCATTGCAACGCTCGTGCATATTTCGAGGAGATCCTTTTCATAGCTGAATGGCAAGATGACTGCGACGCCGGCTGCAACTTTCACGTTGTTGGCAAGATTAGCGACGTGATCAGCGAGTCCCTGATATTGCTCCGCACGAAGTCGTTGTTGATTTTGTTTGATGAAGTTGAGATTGTTGGCTTCCACTTGCAGATAGGAATCGACCAGCCATTGCTGCGTCAATTTTCCAGCGCTCATGACTGGGTTGAAGCAGTGGCGAATAGCAGTTTGTGCTGCTTTGTACTGCAGCATGCTGACGTTGGTTCGAACTCTATTGATCTGCACACCTTCGTAGGCTTCGCATTGCCATGTTGGCTGCCATCCTGTTTGACCGTATGGAAACAGCAGCGTATACGTCATCGGATCCATATTGGGACTCAAGATGTTGATGAACGGCTGATTCGGATCTTCTGGATTTCGTGGATAGATGTGAATGTCACGATGAAACGGAGGCTCTCCATCTTCGTTGACAAACACCATTGCAACTTCATTCAATGTTGGAGCATTGTAGCGTCGTTGATCTGATGGACGATCTCGTCGAAACGCCATGTTCACAACAGGAAGTGCTGTCGATGATGTACAATTGCACGTACTGCGGCTGTTGATTGTTGAGCGCCTGGAGATGTGATATCCGGTGGTAAGTTTGTCCCTGAACCTTGAACACATACGGTCCACGTCCAGACAGATCCACGATCTATTCTCCCATCGATGCAAATGAGAGAGCATTGTTGTAAGATCTGATGTGGTCACGGAAATGTGTACGACTTGGTGAGTTGTCATCTGACATGAGTTGACGGAGAAATTCGGGATATTCCAGCTCGACTCCGTTCTCATCTTGTGGCTTCGACAGCTTGACTTTTCCTTTTCGGCAGCAGCTTGTGAACGTTCCATCTGATGGGACGCTCATCCTTAAAGTTCTTTGAATCGCAGAATTGGCAGATGAAACTCAGCGGGCCGCAATCGTGAGCATGAACTCGTTCCTCTATAAAGTGAATCGCTTGATCGCGAATCATCTGGCTGTAAAGCTCTTGAGCTACACGGTGCGCTTCGGCGTCAACTGCTCGTCGTGCTTGCGATTCTTCAGGCGTTTCCACTCCCGTGCTGCACGCTTTGACTCGGCATTAGCTTCTCGTCGTGCTTGTCGCTGCTCCAGGGATTCTTGTTCTCGGGCTTTGCGATGGGCTTCGGCGTCAGCTGCTCGTCGTGCTTGCGATTCTTCAGGCGTTTCCACTCTCGTGCTGCACGCTTTGACTCGGCATTAGCTTCTCGTCGTGCTTGTCGCTGCTCCAGGGATTCTTGTTCTCGGGCTTTGCGATGGGCTTCGGCGTCAACTGCTCGTCGTGCTTGCGATTCAGGCGTTTCCACTCTCGTGCTGCACGCTTTGACTCGGCATTAGCTTCTCGTCGTGCTTGTCGCTGCTCCAGGGATTCTTGTTCTCGGGCTTTGCGATGGGCTTCGGCGTCAACTGCTCGTCGTGCTTGCGATTCAGGCGTTTCCACTCCCGTGCTGCACGCTTTGACTCGGCATTAGCTTCTCGTCGTGCTTGTCGCTGCTCCAGGGATTCTTTTTCTCGGGCTTTGCGATGGGCTTCGGCGTCAACTGCTCGTCGTGCTTGCGATTCAGGCGTTTCCACTCTCGTGCTGCACGCTTTGACTCGGCATTAGCTTCTCGTCGTGCTTGTCGCTGCTCCACGGATTCTTTTTCTCGGGCTTTGCGATGGGCTTCGGCGTCAGCTGCTAGTCGTGCGTGGTATTCTTGAGGCGTTTCCCGTTCTCGTGCTGCACGCTGTGACTCGGCATGAGCTTCTCGTCGTGCTTGTCGCTGCTCCAGTGATTCTTGGTTTTGGGCTTTGCGATGAGCTTCGGCGTCAGCTGCTAGTCGTGCGTGGTATTTTTGAGGCGTTTCCCGCTCTCGTACTGCACGCTGTGACTCGGCATTAGCTTCTCGCCGTGCGTGTCGCTGCTCCAGTGATTCTTGGTTTTGGGCTTTGCGATGGCCTTCGCTGTCAGCTGCTAGTCGTGCATGGTATTTTAGAGACATTTCCCGTTTTCGTGCTGCACGCTGTGACTCGACACGAGCTTGTCGGATCCTGTCTAGAGTTTCTTGGCTTTGTTTTTGAATCCATCTCTGCTGTCTTTCTCGATTTAGCCGTCGTTTCTTTGTTGCTGGATGTTCGGCTCCATCCATCGTCTACAAAATATGTTTGTTTGTCAGATTACATTTTTTAATAACTCACCTTCAACTACTTATTCACTTAATGTCTTGAGACACGATCGGATGTACGGCTGATAGTTAAGTTTGATTAAAAAACTTAAAAAGAACGCGGACGGCTTTGCTGTACTTGAGGACTTTCAATAATTCTAGATTTGAAACTTTCGTAACTGCAAGGATTCATACTCTTAGGTTTTTTTTCGGTAAAGTCACGTAGGTAAAAATACATAATAAAAGTAATAGAAATAATAATAAAAATAAATCACGTTTCGGAGGCAACACAAGTGTCCGTCATCAGGTGGGACCATCACAGCTGAATTTACTGTATCAAGTGAGGAAAAATCCAAGAGACAAGCCCTTAAATACGTTAAAGGGGGGGGGGGGGGGAGGGGCTTATCTGAATGTGGTTGCCGGGGAGTGGCGGGGGGGTGGCGGGGAGTGGCGAGCTTGTATTTAAGGGCTTGTCTCTTGGATTTTTCCTCACTTGATACAGTAAATTCAGCTGTGATGGTCCCACCTGATGACAGAGACTTGTGTTGCCTCCGAAACGTCGTAATTTATTATTTATTTCTATTATTATTCCTATTATTTTTATTATTTATTTTTATTTTTACCTACGTGACTTTACCGAAAAAACCAAAGAGTATGATTTTCAATATGTCGAATAAGAGCGGCGTTACGCGGCTTTCACTTAAAACTTTCACTCTCCAGACCTTAAATTTTGATTTAAAGCTTTCGTGACTGCAGGGATTCATCTTCTTGGTTCTTTCGGTAAAGTCACGTAGAAGGGAAGTAATAAAATAATAAAAATAAAACATAATAAAATTATTCCCACGACGTTTCGGCCACAACGCAAGCAGAGTCTGAATGACTCTGAATGACTCTGTCGCCTCGACGGACCTGGTTTTCACCTGAGGATGGCTGCTTGCGTTGTGGCCGAAACGTCGTGAGAATAATTTTATTATGTTTTATTTTTATTATTTTATTACTTCCCTTTTACGTGACTTTATCTCCAGACCTTTTTGACGATCTCGCGATGTAACTTTAATGTGAATGAATGTAAATGTACTTTAACTTTAGTTGTGATATTTAAATTCACTTCTAAGAGCTATGATTTCTTAATCACTGAAAGAACTGTTAGGATGATTTGGCACTTGTGATATAAAATAAATGATAAAAAAAACTTGCGTAATTTTGCCTCAAACATAAAACGGCGCTTTCAAAAGTTGTAGATATTTTTGAAAATTGAGAAAAAAAATTACGGCAAAAAATTATTGTAATTTGATGCTGATTAAATTTCGATTTAAAGCTTTCGTGACTGCAGGGATTCATCTTCTTGGTTCTTTCGGTAAAGTCACGTAGAAGGGAAGTAATAAAATAATAAAAATAAAACATAATAAAATTATTCCCACGACGTTTCGGCCACAACGCAAGCAGAGTCTGAATGACTCTGAATGACTCTGTCGCCTCGACGGACCTGGTTTTCACCTGAGGATGGCTGCTTGCGTTGTGGCCGAAACGTCGTGAGAATAATTTTATTATGTTTTATTTTTATTATTTTATTACTTCCCTTTTACGTGACTTTATCTCCAGACCTTTTTGACGATCCCGCGATGTAACTTTAATGTGAATGAATGTAAATGTATTTTAACTTTAGTTGTGATATTTAAATTCACTTCTAAGAGCTATGATTTCTTAATCACTCAAAGAACTGTTAGGATGATTTGGCACTTGTGATATAAAATAAATGATAAAAAAAACTTGCGTAATTTTGCCTCAAACATAAAACGGCGCTTTCAAAAGTTGTAGATATTTTTGAAAATTGAGAAAAAAAATTACGGCAAAAAATTATTGTAATTTGATGCTGATTAAATTTCGATTTAAAGCTTTCGTGACTGCAGGGATTCATCTTCTTGGTTCTTTCGGTAAAGTCACGTAGAAGGGAAATAATAAAATAATAATAATAAAACAATAAAATTGTTAAATAATAAAAAAATAAAACGTAATCAGTTTGTATTTTATTATGTTGAATTTTTTTATTTTATTGTTTTATTTATTTTATTTTATTATTTCCCTTCTACGTGACTTTACCGAAAGAACCAAGAAGGTTGATGCTAGTTATAATTTCTGGCGGAATGTCGTGCTCAGATTGTAAATATTGTGGGTTTACTCTCCAACACACCGATTTTGTTCTACTAATAACGAATTGCCAATTTTTTTTACGTGACAAACCTCGCTGATTGGCTGCGTGCCGGGTGGTGGCGGGTTGAACGACACATTTATATCTTACGCGATCTAACAAAACAACTTTAGATGGCCAATTTCTAATCTCACGTTGGTGCCTCTTCCGTGGTCACAAAAAAGTGAGCTCGAAACGTCGCGATTTATTTTTTACCTACGTGACTTTACCGAAAAAACCAAAGAGTATACACAAAGAAACCGAAATTTATTTAGCCCTCATAATGTAGGAGAGATAAAATAAAAGAACGACAATTTGGAGCGCTTACCGAGCGGACAGCCGCGTGTGACGAGGCCGACATTGCAGACGTCACTGGGGCTGCGACTTGTGCCCTGCACAGCAGCGGCAGCAACCCCCCCCCCTTCACCACCAATCAGAGCAGGGCGGACATCTTGGGTAGGGGAACCCGACTGCAAACCGCAGCAGCGCGCCAAGCACGGCAAGCCCTGCCCCCCCAAAACCACGCCCCCCCCGCCCCCACCGCTACCCCCCACCCCCCACTGTCCCCCTCCCCCCGCTCCCACCGGCTCTTCCCACTCCTCCCCCCCACCGCCCCCACCGCTACCCCCCACTGCCCCCCCTCCCACTGCCCCCTCCCCCCCGCTCCCACCGGCTCCACCCACTCCTCCCCCCCACCGCTTCTCCCCCCTGTCCTCACCGCTCCTCCCCCACCGCCCCCACCTGCTACCCCCTACCCCCCCACCGCTTCTCCCCCCCACTGTTCCCCTCCCCCCACTCTCACCGGCTCCTCCCACTCCTCCCCCCTGTCCCCACCGCTCCCCCCCCACCGCTTCCCCACAACTTCTCCCCCTCCCCACTGGCCCCCTCCCCCCGCTCCTCCCACTCCTCCCCCCAGCCCCACCGCTCTTCCCTGTCCCCACCGCTCCTCCCCCACCGCCCCCACCGCTTCCCCCTACTCCCCCAACCGCCCCCCCGCCCCCACCGCTCCCCCCGCTCCCCCACCGCTTCCCCCTACTCCCCCCACCGCCCCCCCCGCCCCCACCGCTCCCCCCTACTCCCCCCACCGCCCCCCCCGCCCCCACCGCTCCCCCTACTCCCCCCACCGCCCCCCCCGCCCCCACCGCTCCCCCCGCCCCCACCGCTCCCCCCTCCACCGCCCCCACCACTTCCCCCTACTCCCCCCCACCGCTCCCCCCTGCCCCCCCGCCCCCACCGCTCCCCCCTACTCCCCCCACCGCCCCCCCCCCCGCCCCCACCGCCCCCCCCCCGCCCCCACCGCTCCCCCCTCCACCGCCCCCACCACTTCCCCCTACTCCCCCCGCCCCCACCGCTCCCCCCTCCACCGCCCCCACCACTTCCCCCCCCCCCCCCACCGCCCCCCACCGCCCCCGTTAGCGACAAACTTCCCTCCCCCGCCCCAACACTCCCCCGCCCCACCCCGCTTTACCCTACGAAAGATGGCGACGGCGCGTCACTACCCCCCCACTCCCCACGCCCCTCCTCCCCCTCTCGTGACGTCACGGCGCCCATATACAAGTTTCTCTTTGGCGTGCGCCGCGCAACGAGGCGCGGGCTTGCGAGAGGCGGCAGGCCGCGAGGCTTCCCCCTCGACATGAAGCCGTGAGTATTCGGCGCTCCGTCTCAACGCCCGTTACCCTTCCCGAACGTTCGACGAGTTAAGAACGACCCCCGGACGCGGGTCAAGTTGCGAGTGGAGTTGTTTTTTTTTAATGAGAGAGAGAGGCAACTTTTTATTTCGCCCCGAGGTTGGTGGTGAGGGAGGGGAGGGGGGGGTGCCGCACGTGCGAGGCCGGCGGGGGGCCGCGGTGGGGAAAGCGGCAGGATAAGTAGGCAAGCGCGGGTTTGTGTGCGCGAACAGGCCGCAGTCCCTTCTTTGCCATCGGGAGTCACAGACTCGAGCTTGCAGTTGAGGAGAGCCGGCGGACCAAGGGCGCGGCCGTGTCCGTCGATACCGGCAGACACTGCTGGAGCGGACAGGGGGAGTCGTGGAGCCGGGCCGGACCCCCACGGCTGTGGAAACAGCACGGCCCGAGTGGCTTGCGGCGTTTGGCTGAGAATGAATGAAGAAATGGGGGCTTCCCCAGCGTTTGGAAATCTCGGGACCCCGCAGCGTAATCTCGCCAAATGTCAAAAGCTAAACGGATGGGGCCCCGGCTTTGGTGTCACGGCGCCTGCGTGGGTGGTAGCGACATCGGTGCCATGCCGGCCTACGAGGGGGGTGGCGTCTTCGGGAAGGTTCATAGAGGGCACGCTGAGCGCCATGGCTGGAATTCGGCGTTTTCTTGCCGCAGTTCTGCTGATAAGCACCACGCTGTGGTATCACATACAGAAGCCTTGCCCACCCCGTAGACGCAAAGGGAATCCGCCTGACTGATTAGAACTGGGAATGTACTTGATGGTCCAGGTGAAGTTCTGGATCCATCCGTGGCCTTGCCATATTTCCACTCCCCACAGTAATGGTGCATACGTTGTCCCTCCACCTGTAAGGGTTTGAGTGTGTGCGTAATTAAAACCATGTACTGCACTTTGTTTTGCTCTACCTGTACTTTTATCATGCTGGAGACCCCTGGCTTGTTGGTGAATGTGGTCCCAAGACCGGTTCACATATCATTGGCTGGTCTTAGCCGTGGCTGAAAAAAGGTGACCTGTATGCCAAACGTGTTTTCAAATCACAGATGTTTCTTGAGCTTTTGCCGATTCCCACTTTTGCTTTCAGGTGATGAAATATGAAGGGTCGCCTATTCAGTTTTCATGTATGGTTTGGGTTTCTGACTTTATTCGTTTGGGATTAGGGCCTGGGTTTAGAAGTTTAGGCGAGGGAATTGGGGGTTAGTGATTGTGTGCGAAAGATTAATTTCCTAACCACGCATACTCCGAATACGCCCATCTCTGAACCTTTATAAACAGCTCGCCCTCAGAGGCTAACCTCCCTGTTCCTGATGACGACTGCTTGTGTTGCGATCGAAAGGTCGTGATATTTTTATTAAATGAATTTTATTCTTATTATTATTTTTCTATCTACGTGACGTTACCGAAAAAGAACCATAGACTATAAAAAGGTGTACCGTGTTTATTTCCATAGAGCTATTTTCTGACACATTGGTAGATTGGTTCAGTGGCCTGTTCTTATTTCTAAAGACCTGGTCTTTTACTATACGCCGGCTAAACGCATTTAAAGAGAATGCAATTTAAGAGATTGAAATCACTAGTCATTGTGTTGACATGTAATAGTACATGCGAGACATTAACTGTAAATAATATTGTTTTTCAAATGGTAAAGTACAACTTTCCCCTTTACACATGCCTGGTTTGACACACAGGTTCCGTACAGAGCTTGGGGAGGTAACCCCACACAACATAAAGCAACTTAAGCGGCTAAATCAGGTCATCTTTCCAGTGTTTTACAACGACAAGTTTTATAAAGATGTTCTGGAAGTTGGCGAACTGGCGCGGTTGGGTAAGTGTTCGTATATGCACCCTACATTTCAGAAGTGACCAGTATCCTTGTCATCTCTTGGTTGAGCATACAGCTTTTACTAATTTCAGTGGCTTGGAATTTCTGCGTTTGCTTGTGCATTGGGAAATATAATGCTTATGACGCTGTATGTGTTTGTGTAACCCAGCATACTTCAATGACATTGTGGTGGGTGCGGTCTGCTGCCGGGTGGATTTCTCCAACAACCAGAAGCGCTTGTACATAATGACGCTAGGATGCCTAGCGCGTTACCGTCGGCTTGGAATTGGTAAGCAAGATATCGTGCACATCAACTGTTACACACATTTGCATTCCTACTGCACGTATTAAGCGTGCCTACGACTAGAGTAAATCACTTGGAATGTGCCTGGTCTCATCAGATCTTGGAAGCGAAGCAGAAATTTAGCCTGACTAGTAATGGATGATTGGACACTCATCTACAAACAGGCTGTCATAGTCTTGCAGGGCTTCGTGGTGGGCAGCAGAGGGCATTGCATCAAAATACATTGTTCTACTGTACTTGTATGCTTCCACGTTTATGCTCCTCGCACTGATCAGCATAGTGAAGTAGTGTGAAATTACCCCTATGACCTGCATGGTGTGGGAAGTTCATCACCTAGCAGTGGATTGACAAAAAGGAATGTACATATGAACCTTATGGCGGTACCCTGGGGTTCCATAGTACCCCGGCTCTCACATGATGTCCGTGATGCAGTCATTTTTAGTCTGTTGATGGTCGGCGATACGGCAATTGACTCATCTTGACGAGCTGTACACGATGCATCACTATGGTGCATACGAGCGTTCAGGGTTTCGGTGCAATCGCGTCCTCGCTTTGTTTCGACATTGTGGAGTAGCACTGATTTCGGATTGATTTGTACCCCAGTCGTGGAGTTAAGTAGACCCCTGTAAAAAATAGTGTCCCGGAAATAAAATGAAATTGTATCGGCCATTTTGTATTATCTGGTACCCCGGGTTACCGCCATAATGATTATATGCCCATGACATGACTAAGTACTGTTTATGCAGTACTGCAAAGACACATTTGTACTTGAACCACATTGTTTACCATGATAATGCTGCAAAAGGGAGATGCATTGTTTACTGGTAAATTATCTTGTGGTATAGTGTAATTTGTGAAATTAAGTACTTTAAATAAATACAAATCCAGTCCATGTTTTCTTATAGCACCGTTTTCATAAAATACATTGAATTAATGGTCTTGGTTGTTTCTACAGGAACAAAAATGTTGAATCATGTGCTGGCCATTTGTGAGAAAGATGGAACGTATGACAACATCTTCCTGTGAGTGCCACACGAATCTTCATACTGTCTAGTTTACACGGATGAGCTATTTGACTCTTTCAGCATGAGACTTCAAATCCATTAAAGTTGCTATGAGTAGCCGATAGCAGAAGGAATCATGCTTTGTTATAGGAATTGAACATACACTTACATTTATCAGGCACTATTCTGCCTGAACTAATTAATGCAGTATATATTATGGTTAGCACAGTCATATTTGCATTGATGTATGTACTTTTTATTGCATAACACCTAAGGTTTAAAGTATTAATGCCTTAACTTTTCTTGTCAGTCCATCCACCTGTCTAACATGCTATCATAACTCTTATAAAGATTATCCAATATAAATTAAGTTTTATTGTAAAGTTGTTGAATATAGAAAACTGGCCAAATGAATTATAAAATACCAGTGCAAAATCGATTCTTTGGCCAAGGCGATGTCGCACATGTACGTGCCGCGCCTTACTCATATCATTCCGCGTGATGTAATCTCGTGCGGCGCTGAAGATTTGTTATCACAAATTCAATACATCCCAAGTACAAAATGTACGTGGGAAAGCATTGCAGAAGCCATCGCGTTGGCATGACATTTCATCCCCTCGTTTACCTTCTCTCCATAGACACGTGCAAGTAAATAATGAGTCGGCCATGCGGTTCTACCGCGAGTTTGGCTTCGAGGTGCTGGAGACAAAGGCGCAGTACTACAAGCGGATCGAGCCGGCAGACGCTCACGTGCTGCAGAAGACGTTGCGGGGAGCTCCCTCTGCTCGGGGAATCCTGGCCCTGGGCCCGCCGCACTCTACGTCTCACGTAGCAGAGCGGGAGGATGGGCAGGAGGCACAAACTTCAGCACACCACAGCAATGGCAGTTTAGAGAATGAGAAGTGACTGGGTTTGGCCGCAGGAATCTAACGTGGGCATGTGTGTGTTTGGGTTTAAGTTGATAGGACATATTAGCATGCCATATCAAACTATGGGGTGCCCTGCTGTGTGACTGCCTTGGATGCAGTTCTGTAAAAAATGTAAACGCATTGCACAGCCTCCCATTTTAAACAACAATTTGGTTGTGCCTTTCAAATAATGCTTTTACATGTTAACTTATGATCTATATTTTTTCATTGAAGGAGCAAAATATGTCCTATTGACCTGGTTTTAGGTGGGTTGTATTGTTGGCAATGGGTTTTATTGATTGACCATGGAAGATCGTTTTCTATGGGTCATTTGGATCAAGTGAATGCAAGAATTAGGGCTGCAGAATTTCTCGAGCTCCAACTACATTAAGGATTGCTGCTTTGTTGATGCAAAGAAGTGGGACATCAGGACCCGCCAACCGTGTTGGAATGAATACACACTTGAATTACGATGGTGGACATTCATGATCAATTGAAAACTCACTGTTCCAGAGAAAGTACAGATGACATTTGCCTGGAATCTGTAGGCTGTTGCTTTTACCTTCATGGAACATCCATCAACAACTACAAGCGGATCGGATGAGAACGGTCTTTTAAGTAACTGATTTAAATCCAATTATTTCCAAGTCACATCAGAGATTACATGTTGAGGTTGCCTGTGAGGTGGCACATTTGTTTGGAAATGAATTGATGTTGCTGAAAGAGTAAAGACTGCTATTTGTTTTTGGATTCAATATTAAAACTGCATTTCCACAATTTGTTTTTGTATTGGAGTTTTTTTACTGGTTTCTAGTGTATGAAAAATAGAAATTTATCATAGATTATCCTTTTTTTGACATGCATATGGTGGGCACTATGGGTGCATATCTGCTTACCTTTGCATGTTATGGCTATCTCCACAA